GTTGTCAAACCTATTGTTTCTTTTTCTTTTTCTTTATATATATATATATATATACTGGTACGGACAAGACGGTAGCGACTGGAATTCTTTTCTTCTGTATTTAGTTGTCCGTACCAGTATATATATATATATATAAAGAAAAAGAAAAAGAAACAGTAGATTTGACAACTATGTATGACTCATCACCTGATTGTCTTTTAATCTCTTATCTACTTTGTATGTTTTACTCTGTTATGTACATTTGTTTTATTAGTATTTAATCATTTTAACTGTTCGAGAACTTCTGAAGAAGATCAATTTCATTGATCGAAACGTCAAGAATAACAATATTTTATAAATAAATAGGAAGAGAACTCTTATAATATATAATGTCAAAAACCTTCCTCAGCCGTAACATAAAAATTATTTTAACTAGAACGAAATTAATGACACCGACACGATTATATCCTATACAAAGTTCAAGGAGAATTTCTCTTTTTATGTATGACTTCGCTATCTTTTCGTCGTAATAACTACCAGAATCCAATGCTAGTACTATGATATGGAGCTGCATTTTCGAATGGACTTCATCGTTTAAGTAACTTCGTTAGTGATTAACAAAAAAGTTAGAATAGTGCAACTTCATAAGACGATCTCGTCTGCACGAATCTGCTAACGAATAGAATTAGTCAACTCAATACGGTTTAGCGGTATGTCTTGTTTACTAGCTGTCAAGTATCCGGACTTGATTATTTTTACTATATATGTCGTAAACAGGTATTGTGCTGCAATTATTGGGATGATTTTTTTCTTTGCATCTGAAGGTCCTGTATATGATTTCTGTTTCAAACATTAAGAAAAATGCTTTAAAAACAGTGACAAAATTATTCGATAACATCACAGTGATTCCAATATCCGATAACTACGAAGATTAAAACGATTGGTATCTCATTGAGATGTGTTTATATTGACTACAAGATAGATGGTACGACAAGGCATAGAGAATTCAGTTCTATCGCTAAATACAAAAGAGTATCTATATTGTGAAGAATGTCCTGAAAGCTTCTAATATTTGGTTTCTTTTTTTCTTGCTTTTTATCATAGTTGATGTAGCATCTTTGTATGCTATTTATGTGTTCCTTTAGGATCGATAGGGGCACAGAGGATTAAAAATAATGCAATAAAAAAAGTCATGATAATAATAAAGTTTCAATAAAAGCTATTTATCTTTGTTTGAAATGGATAAGAAATTTTTTTTGGTTCTTTATTTCTATGTGCATTGCATTTTTTTGTTCAATGAAAAGCTGTCTATGCAGGGTTATGTTTGTTTTTCGAGGACTAGAACTTCAAGATATGTTATCATGACAGCATCTGACAACTTCGAAGAGGTTCATTATCTCATTAATGACGATCTTTACATTACAACTGACGACTCGAAGGTGCAAACTAGTCTAAGCCATAACTAAAGAACAATAAAATACTGAAGAAATATAGAGCACTATTTGGACTATCAATATATATATCAAGTGAGATTTTCTCAACCTATCTATACAATATTATAGTGCCGATGTCATTACTTGTGGTACATCCTAAGTACTATCTGTATACAAATAAATCATTGAATTAATGCAAAAATAAACATATTTCTCATCGATAATATTGTTCTCAATGTGAGATTTTATTGATCGTATCGTTGAGAAAAATAACTGATGCGGAGAAAGCTTCTAGATGTTTAATCACTTTTTTCACCAACTCTACTTTCTGGTGACCTTAATAATGACTCTCAAATGACAGAAAATAGTTTTTCTTTTAATAGCGAAATCGACGTGCTTTACAATCTGAATGGATCAAAAATGTTTTCACTAGGGAAAACGAATCTTGCAGAAAATGGGCATCTGGAGTTTTAGCTGCCAGTCTTATATTGATATTCGTCACCAGCATGGCAGATTACTTATAATCCACTAGATATGATGAAGAAAACGATTAGACAGTTAGTGACTTTTTCCCGTGAGACTATCTATAATCGTCTATGATATTCAATTTATGAATTTGTATGTTACATAATATTTCTTCTCGTTTCTATTCAAAACATTTTTGATTGCTTCTTTTTAGCATGTCAATTTTCACAAATACTTCATTATATGTGTTCAATGGTAGCTTTACTCAGTTGTTTAGTAGTGTCTATTTCTTTAACATCTCGTGATCCAAATATTGATCTTCATACATGGAATACAACTGAATTTGAATTACCATCACGATCAAAATCAATCATTGCTCATTTCAATAATCGATCATCAAATATTTTTATTATCGATACTCTATGTCTTGTTTGGACAATTGTTGAAACTATTCTACGTATATTATCAACACCATCTCTTCATAATTATCTTACTAAATTAGGTTTATTTGATGTAACTGGTATGTGTAGTTAAAAACTGTACATAATATTATTATTATTATTAGAAAAGTACATTAGGTGTTGCTTTTCATTTTATTTATATATATATAATTGGTACCGGAACAAAACCACGGTTTGACTTTTATTGTTCTTTTTTTTTTCTTTCAAAAAATAAATTTCATTTTATTTAAATAATTAGTCGATGTAAACAAAATTCAATTCAAACTAATGATATGTTTAGCTGTATTACATTCAATCGTCGTGTAATGATAATAAATCTTTTACGTAAAGTACGTCTTGTACGTTATATACGTCCATTAAAATATTTTGTATTATCTCTTATTGCATCAAAAAGAGAAGTCATACGTCTTGTTGTATTAATATTATTTATTATAGCATTTCTTGCTCCATTAATATTTATTATTGAAAGTTTCTATATATATGAATGTTCATCATCAACACATGTACCAAATACACGTTGTATTCGAACAATAAGTGATGCATTTTATTATTTAATTCTTATTATATCAACTGTTGGGTAGCATAGATATATATATTATAAATTAATTATTTAATACATATCTTTGTTTTTTTTTAAAGTTATGGTGATGTTTATCCAATGTCACATCTTGCTCGTTTTATTGCAATGTTAGCATCACCATTATCAATAATGATATTATCAATACCTTTATCATCAATATATAGTAAATATATTTCTTTACGTGAAATTTATCAAATGCAATTAGTTATGCCTGAAAATGTTCGTTATCTTATTTATGATGATAAAAAATGTGCTAAACGAGATCATAAATTACAAAAAAATGAAATTATTGATGTAACTGAACAAATTCATAGAAATTTAAAACGTTTACGAATTAATTAAAAAATGATCAAATAAATATTTAAAATACAGGATGACTCATAAGTAACTAGACGATAAACAAATACTTAATATCTACAGTTAGGCTTTTTCTCAGTGATAGAGAACTAAACACTACTGATCGAAATTATAGCTCGGTGACTTTAACCGATCTTAAGGAGGCGTCCTTCTGACCGAATGTAATAATCAAATCTTTTTTGATTTTCTATTTTTCATCACTAATATACCTTCGAAGTGTTCTCTATCAAATACCGTGTAAAATTATTCTTTGTATGCAAAATTTTCCTAATGATTATTTCTTATTGCAAAGGTACTGAGATTGTGAATCATGGATTTCTAAGGTTATTAGTTTCCGATGACATTAGTTGAAAAGAAGAAATCCTGATATACATAGGAGAATTTCTTTTGTCGTTTTTATCAAAATCAATTTTTACAAAATAAAAACTCGAAAATCGTCTCAGTTTCCCCAATATAGTACGTTCGATCAAACTGAAAATGTTTTTAAAGATATTGAACATTTTTTTTGGAGTTTCTCCTTTTTTTTTTATTTTGAAAAATATTGCAGTGTTGATTTTTCGAAGATTTTACCAAAAAGATATAGTATAAAAGAAATGTGTATTTATGGACGTACCTACAGTATTTTGATCTTTTCATTATGTAGGACTTACCACGGTTGAAAAAGCGGGACAATTATAAGTCTTTGGAAGCAGATACTTCCTAGGAAGAAGTGTTTGTGAATTTGGAGTCTATGACAAGTTTTGCTCTACTCATTGAGATCTATCTACTCCGAAAGTTTCAAATAGTTCGTCGAAAATTTTGCAAATAAAAAGGGCACCCTTAAAGCTACATGTCTGGAATTTTTATCATATGTACTACCTGAGAAATATAGGTCGACAAGATCAGTTTAGTTTTGGTTGATTGAATTAAACAACAACTATGATGTATGATATCTCTTCTTACTATGACTTCTATAGCACAAGAAGGAAACTATATGGTTAACCTATTATTATATAAAATATCCGCAGCTTTTGGACGCTGAGATGAAATTCGATAAAATTCATAGTGCAAATAGATGTATTAAAGGACTATAATGACAGGTTTGCGGACGCATAAGCTTCTTCTCTGTTCAAATTACAAAACTCATAGGGTGAAAGGTCCCTATAGACCATACTTTCTTTTCAGCTCAAGCAAACAAGGCCTTACTATTTCTACTAATCTACATTTTTAAAATGGTATATATGCTAATCATTTCACACGAGTAGCTCTAAAAATCGCTATGATCGCAGGGTGAGATCCTTTTCGCCTATAGCATATTTCGTCATTGAGTTCAATAGTGCTAGTTCTGCGCAACATTTATTTGACGAGTCTTCTACCATCATGAAAAACAATCTCAATCAATAAAAGACTAGTGGAAATATCCAATTTTTTATCGTCTAGTTATTTAAGAGCTACTCTGTGTTTGCGATTAGGAAAATACAGATTTTCAAAGATCACTTCTTGATTAGATGTAAAAAATTTTGTAAACATTTCTAAACAAAATGAGATCTTCTTAGAGTATTATTAAAAATCATCAACCTAACACATCATTTTATAAAAAAAAATCTTATTATGTTTAGAAATGTTTTAACAGTTGAATAGAATTTACAATTATATCTAGTTTAACGTAACATTTTTTTTCAAATGAATTTTATTATACAGAAGAATGTCTTCTAACTGAATTACACATTGATTTCTAATAAAAAGCTAACAATGAGTTGCAGCCACTGTACAAACAACAGCTCCCGCTCTAGCTAGATTTGCTGAGTCAGACGATGATAATGAATGATAAGCATTCTTTGATGAACAACATACCATGCAAACTTTGAGAATGGTTATCAAAATTAATAGACCAACTATCACAAAAAATATTATACCAAGAACTCCTGGTCCACTTGATTGTGTATAACAAGTTCTACTTGCATATGAACCACAATTTGAATTCACTGAATAAAAAACAAAAGAGATAAAAAATCTACATTTATTTAATGAATATATGAATTTACTTGGACAACAAAATGTCCACGGGTAACGTCCACATACTTTTCCTTGAAAAAGAAAAACCTATTATTAAGATTTATATTATTGAAATTATTTTACCTGGAACATTACCATATGTACAAGAACTTGCTGATCTAGTAACTATGAATATAAATAATAGTCCACATAAAACAAGTTTCGACATAAGTCTATTTCTTAGTAGGAAAACAAAATATGATGTTCTTCTACCAAGTTTTATAGTTAATAAAGGTGCTGATAAAAAATGACGCATGCAGCGTCATATTATTAAATATTCTTTGACTCACACAGATATGAGAAATATGTTTTTTTTTCAATGATGAAGCGAAAAGAAGAAGGAGATGGTGATAATTGATGACGCTGTTCCTCTACAGAAATATGATCTCTATCATGTCACACTCTTATTCAAAGCGTTTCAAAGTGAACTATGGTAGAATTAGACTTATAATACTTGTTCGTATTGTATCCTGGTCGATTGAAATAGTCAACAATTGTCGTACATACACTAGTAGATGTTTTTTGAAGATAACCAGCTCCTTTTCTTTATTAATCTGAAGACTGATCAGACTAATATTCATATGGCTGCAAAGTCATATTAAAATATTACGGAAAAACACTGTCCGACATGAATGATCTTAAATGAAGCACATAGTCGTAATGTACTCCTTTCTTCAGATTATTTACTGAAGTCAAAAACCAACACCATCTAATATTGAACACTCGCCGGGTTAGTTTTTATATGGTTTGGTAATATTTTTTGAAATCTTCAAAATGGTATAAAAGTATCAAAGAAAAAGCACTGATCATACAAAGAAATTCCAGGGGAGCTATTCTTAAAGTATCGATTTATGATAGTTTTTGCCTGATTTTTAGTGGATTTCGATTAGAAAAATACAATTCTACTAAAAACTAATATAATACTCTGAATAAACATTCAAAACTGAGTGGACTTATGTGTATTTGAAACATTTTCACAATGTTTATTTCCGTTGAAAAATTCACCCATCGTCCCCCAACGTTGGATCAAAAAATAAGCTTCATAACAATTCTGGTTTTAGTGTTTATTCATCGATCATTTGAAGTTTTACTATCGTTTGATCATCTTCGAGCTTGATTTCTATTGTTAAGATAACTTTTCGATGAAATTTATTTTTTTTATTTCAACTCAGAGGGGCACGAGGGGTAAATTTTTCGACGAAAAACAGTACACGTAATTGCACTCAGTTTAGGAAAAATCATGAAACCATATATTGAGATTAGTCTCTTTAAAATTCTTTTGTATGAGCAGTGCTTTTTTCTTAATATTTTTATACCTTTTAGAATCGCTCAAAAAATTTCTATCAAACCATATGTGTGATACTTTGACATAGAACAAATCAAATTTTTCAAGGGGTCATTTTTAACAGTTATAGATGACCCTTGCTCCTTTTATATAACTATATGCAAACAATAATATAACCGTTTCATGTCAGAATAAATAATCAGAAATTATGTTCATTGAGCATAAAAACTAATCTAGTATGAATATTGGTTTGCATGAGATTTTAGAAAATGGTTAATCGTCTTTTTTTTGGCAATGAAAATACAATATTTTCTTGTAGTTATGGAACATCATTCACTAGAATTGAGTACATAAGAATTTTTGTTCTCGTTTACAGTACAGGAAACTACATATTTTCTCTAATTTTTTGTCTTGTCTAGCATATACTAAATTAACAGTCATCTTCTAGTCTATTTGTTTCATTTTATTTTTCAATAACATATCTATTTTTCTATGCAATAGTTAACTCAAAAACTTTATTTGAAACTATTGTTTAGTTCAGTGTCATGATGATGAGTTCTATCTTTCATGTATTAATAGACCGACCTTAAAGAATTATGTTTTCCTATGTTCAGAAATTGCTCTTGTGAAATTGATTGATGAAACTACGCAGAATGTAAAAACCTAAAAAGAACTTGCCTAATTCCAATCTTTTTATTGACACTGATATATGTCTCTCAGAAACTTTTGTGTTACATAAATTCTTATGATAGTTGAGGTTTTATGTTTGTTAAAGATCATTATTTATTGCGTTTTTAAGATAATTAGATTTATTTATGTCGTTACGCAAATCAAAACAGTCTAGTAAAGATTGGGGCTGGTAACATAGTCTTTTCTTTATTTCACTTCTTATTATTGTTTTCAGGTTACGTGATACTGAGTCAACCTCATCTGATGATATATCTATCAATGGAGTAAGATTTATTTCATTTCGCAGATTCTAAAACATTTCTTAATTGTAAATAGATCGGTGTAGTTGCTATACATTTACATCAATTAATAATTAATGAACCATTTCATTTAATAAAAGATAACAATAATCAACAAAAAATAAATATTGATGCATTTCGTATATGTATATGTGCTTATGCTTTAAGTCGATATTCAAAAACTGTACGTATATATTCAACAGAAAAAAAACAAAATATTGCACGATTTGATCAAACAATGCAGATGATAATTCGTGTAAAATGAATAAAATAACTACTTTTTTTATAATGAAAAAAAAATATCTTGAATAATTCAGATTTATGATAAACGTCATGATAAACGACATCTTATTCATGTTATTCTCTATGGATATTTATATGAAGAAAAACGATATGCTTTAATTGCTGATCAAGTTCTTGATAGTATTAAACTTGTATCCGTATGATATGTATATGTGTACAGTAGGATGCTAAAAAAATTGCTGTCGGCTTTGAAGAAAAATCCTCTCACCAAAGTGATGAATTCGACACTGTTTCTTATTTACAGTATATATATATACAACAAATTATAAAAACAAATAACAATCATTTATTGATTCTGTTTTTTACTCAAAATAATAAGTCCTGAACATTGTCTTTCTTATCGGTATAATCAAATAATTTATAGCTTATGTTTTTACTCCTTGGTATTGTTTATGTTAGAACCTGTCTAATTCATGAAGGCTTTGCCAATTTCAGCTTGATATAAGGCATTTAGCTTCTGCACTGTTCGATTGTCCACGACTCTAAATGGACTTTCAACAATCTGAACATTGCTACTAAGAGCTTTCAAGTTCATTATTGTCTGCTTACGTTAGCGTTCGAAATTCTCGCTGAAGATCTTTGGATCTGCGGCAAATCCTATTTTTTGATAGCTGTCATCAGGTTTTAACTGAAAGCACAGTTACGTTTCAATCGATCTTGCTTAGTTGCAGCGCTCACTGTATGTGTCTCATTGTGTGCTCTCGTGTTAAGATCATTGCAATTTCTCGTAATTCTCGCTCGCCATGATGGGTTATTCTTTCGAAATCGTTTCCTGAACTCAATGCGGCTCAATATTGCATTAGCCGTTTACGATGATTTACTCACTTTGCATTGAAATATTATAATAGATAGTACACCCAAGAGATCTTTCTGAGAAAATCAATTTTAACTACTCAACGATCTTTCTGTCTCCAATAGTGTAAAATAATTAGTAAGCTTGTAGAAAAACATTCAGTAGTCGATTGATCAGATATTTTCATTTTATTGAAGAATGTTTACGATCGACTAAGGTTGTTAGTGCTATCTTTATGCATCAACTATTCTTCGATAGAACGTCCGAACAATCCCCATGTGAAGTACAGGACAAAAGCTCTCGAAAGCTTGAACGCCAATCAGCAGTTTTTTGCATCCTATAATATATGCATTTTTATTATTAAATTTTCAGCAGATATGATTATTTTAGGTTCGACATATTAGTGAAGCTGTTGTATTTGAAAGTTCTATTGATATTTTTGTAAGTGATCAAACTTATGAGAATCTTCTACTATTGAAAAAGAACAAACTGTAGGGTAAAGCTACATTATTAATCGAATTAGTTTTTGTATATGGTAGACATGGTTATAATTTTAGTTCACAAGTAAAACATTTTTCAAAAATAACTTTAATTTATAATTACTGATAGAATAGCTTATTTTTCAAAATGATGTTCTTCTTCCCGATACTGTTAAAAATCAAACATTATTTGAACGTATTCTTCCGACTAATGAAGGTATGTATAAACCAAAACTATGTTGGTTTTCTTTGTTGTTGAAAGTTTAAATTGTTTTTTTTTTCAAATAGATAATACAATTAATGAGTATGAATGGTTATGTTTCATTGTGCGATACCACTCTTAATATATGTTTTTTCATATAGAAAATTATTCGATCCACCAGAAATCGATTTACCAATATTTTTACAATTATCATTTGATGAATTGAATCAATATGTAGCTAATGTAACACATAATCATTCTAGAGATCTAATCAAGAATATTCAAGTTCTGAAAGCCTTATCAACAAGTCCAAAGTATGAATGAATATCGAGAAAATTTTTGTAAAAATATTCTATTTAGATATTCATCTATGATGGCAATTATTGATATGTATCCATCAAGAAAACAACGTTTAGAAATATTTTTTGATTTTTTAACTGAAGGTCCATATTTACCTGAACAAAATATTATTGAACCAACTGTTTCACGTTTAATTCCATGGAGTATATCCTATTGGAAACGAGCTTTATCAGGTGTACCTTTACATGGAAATGCTTTGGATATGAATGAATTCCAAAATATTGAGGTTTGTTTAACCTTCAACTTCGACTTTTACTTATACATGAATCAGATAAATGTCAATCAATAAAGACATATTCAATAAATTCTATGAAACAAAATATTGATGAATATTTTTCACATAGAACTTTTAAATAGTAACAATATTTTCTTTACAAACTACTGCATATTGAATTATTAATTCTCTGAAAAGAATTTCTTCTGTTAGTTTATTGTAATTCAGATATTGGATTTTTAAGATATTTTTTAAGCCACAGTTGTAGTCATTCTCAGAAACATTGGATGAACTAATTTTCAAATTTTGACTTGAAAATTTGTACAGAGATAGATATGAAATAGAATAGTGTTTCATAAACGTTTTCAGTCTTTTGTTTAGCATCTATGATGAAATAGGAACATCGAATCTAGCAGTGCATATAAACGAAGAAACAGACACGTTTTTACTAAAGCCTTATTTTAAGATAGGAAAGACGGAAAGATTTAAAACTTACCATCCTGTTTAAGACATATCTTGATACAAAATTTCGAGTCGAAGTTCACAAAAATCAGGTTTTTCCGGTGTATTTGAGAAGTAGTCACGACTTTGGTTTACAAAATACTTTAATAATGCAGTATCTTAGCTGCAATAAGCTCATTAAACGGACTCTTTTTTAGAGAATTCATAACTCATTAGGGTCTGTATAAAATACACTGGTCAGACTCACACATGATGACTTGTAATACATAGGAAATTATACAATATCGTTGATCGACTAACAGTTGATATGAAAATCATCTGATAAACAGACATCATCTCGTAGTCTGGATGAAGTCACTATTTTCTTCAGTCAACTATTCAACACATTTCGACTTCTATCTCTTCACACTCTCTATCTCGTTTAATCTAACAGATCAATCCATGACTATTTCGAAAAGCACTTTCGTATATACATATACATCGAGAACATATTTTATTATTGATTGTAGGCTGGCGTAACACATCTTGAAAATACTTCACCTATTCTTCGTCAAATCATTGAACAAGAAGAATGTAATGCACTGCTAGCTGGTAATACAATGAAGTAAACTAATTAATATTCTTATCTTTCGTTCTACACAAAATATGTTGTTTTATCATTTTGTTTTTAAGACTACATACAATTAAAGAACTTGTTCGTCGTTTAATTGTCCGTTTCTCTAATCTTATTCATCATTAAAAACAATCAAATAATATTGGATAATATTGTGAAATTTACACATTTATCCAAAATAAAAATTAAGAAAGCACAGATTATGTACAGATGATGAGAAAAGAAACCAAATTAATGCATACATAAACAAACAAAATAAAAGAGAGACGTGCGCAAATTATTTTTTTTTTCCGTTTGTTCATTCATCAATGTCATTATTCAAATTAGTTGCAAAATAGAATTGTCGTTTTGAAAAACAAAAAAACAAAAACAAAAACAAAAAAAAAACTTAATAATAATCACTGAGTAGATGCAAGAAAAAAATATAAATAACGATAGATAATACTATTGTGAATATGATCTCTTTTCTTTTCTCTTTCTATTTCATTTATTTAACAAATATGTGTAGCAGACATTTTAATAGCAGTTGATGAAGATGAAGGTTGTGTAGATTTAGTTGTTATTAAAGATTTTTTTTGTGATTGTTGTTGATGAGTTCGCATGAGAGCAGTTGTTTTTAATGTAGCAGTAGGAATAGTTGTTGTGGCTATTGAACGAGTTGGACTTATGGATGGAGAATAATTTATATCTTTATTTGATGTTATTATAATTGATCTTGATGGTCTGTGAAGTTTTCCAACATTAGCATGTGTTCGTAATTTAGTTGTTGAAGAAAAAGTTGATGTAGTACTTTTACCACTAACAACTCTTGTTACTGGTGGAATTGATTCCATAATTGCTGTAGTTATTGTATTTGAACGATTAATCATTAATGGATCATTCGTTATTATATGTTCATTTGGAATTGGTGGTAAACGTGTAATAGATTCTAAATTTTGTGTATTAGAATTATTTATTGTTGCTGAATAATGACGTCGTGTTGATGAAGTTTGTCTTGTTTGAGATTGTGATGATTTTTGTGTAGATGAAATTAATTGAAGTGGAAAATTAGCAATAGCTGTACCAATCAAAGATATTTGTTGTTGCTGTTGTTGTTGATTTCGTTTTTCAATAGATAAATTTGTTAACGTTCTTTCAATACGTGTAGATGAATTTGATGCTACTGTTTGAGGTTTTCTTGGTGATGATGATGATGTCGTTAGAATATGATTTGTATTAGAATTTGTTCCATGTAAACCTTTTATATGTAAAAAACATGCTAATTCTATATTTGCTTCAGGTGTTGAACGAGATGGTGACGATGTTGTCATTGTTGGATTTTGTTGTAATGAAAAATTTGTTGGTATTATTGGTTGTGATAGACGATTTAATGATGAAGAACGTGATGGTAATGAAGATGGTCTTGGTTCTGTTCGAATTCTAATAGAATTATTTGCAACAACATTTTTAATATAACATTGTAATAATGGCTGTTCATCAGTAAGAAATCTCTGAAGTATAGATAATGCTAATGAATTAATTATACTATCTTTTACACATTTAATTGAAGATGGAGTATATTTTGTACGATTACGTTTAGATATAGCTAATGAATAATTACCATTTTCATCATCAATATCATCAGTATCAAATGAATCTGCTCCACTAGTACTAAAATGATCGCCTAAAATAGTACTTGTTGTATAAGCATCATCGAATTCATTATGATTATCTAAGTCAGAATCATCACTTAATTCAGAACCATCAATTGTATCAATTGATGAATGACCAGAAGCAGTCTCATCAAGACGAACCTGAAAGAAAAATATAGAAAACGCATGATTTTTTTGTGTTTTTGATATTAGAATATTTATTTTCAATTGAAGTCATGAGCAATATGATAGAGAAAAAAAGAAAAAAAATAATTGTCCTACAAACTAAAACGAAGAAAATTTTCAACTTCCAAATGATATTATCTTGACTAGATGCCGAAATTTATATTAAAAAAAGTGGAAAAAATACAATCTGCAATTAGTTTATAAATAAATTGAACGAGTTTTAAAAACTTTGTCAAAATATTTGCAAAACTTTTTAATGCACACTTCGGAAATAATCGAATCTCTTGAAAGACAAAATTTTCACGTTGAATAAAAACCTTCGAAAACTACTAGAATCAATATACTCAAGCATAAGTAAATCTTCAAGACAATACGTTGAAATTTCAGTGGAATAAACTCACAACTTCTAAGATTTATTTTTTCGAAAATTTTTCATAAATTTCATTATCTATCTTATTATCGAATCAAAGGAATTTGGTTGAAGGTCAATATCTAATTGAAAACAATAGTCGACTCTTGAGAAACTATGAATCCTTTTCACACAACTAAAATTTATTACTATATTCTTAGTTTCGAGAAATTGTAGAAGAGAAAAGAGAAATATAATGCTAGAGAACGTTCTAATAAGAAACTAGATTAGAAGAATCCAGAAAACTGATTTTGAATGTCCAAAACATTTGAAAGTCTAGTATATTTATGTTACGGCGAGGGCATATCAGCTGCTCGGCTTACATCTTTATATGTATCCAGCATAAAACGATCAGATTCAAACATTCTTAGGCGCTACTATCATGGTTTCTGAGGAAATTTTTGCAATTTTTTAAAAGTTTTTCAGTGCTTGAACGGTTGCTATTAGAGCCTATTAAAATTGTAGATAAAAATTTAAGATTTTGTACAACCCAATTATAAAAGAAACGTTGAAGTATAGAAGTAAAAATTTGAATCCCACAACAGACTATGACAGATGTTGTTAATATGCAATCACTGATCATCTATCAAAAAACTTTCATGAATACTTCCTTATTAGATTTCTAAAGGATTAAGTGAAAGGATAGATGAAGAAATATACTTCAGCGTAAATAGAACAAAGCAGTGTTTCTCTGTGATTAGTAACAGGAAACTACATCGTCTTTCAAATTTTAATACTGTAAGGATTATACTAACAGCTTTCTTTTATTGCTTTCAAAATATATCATTAATCTGAGAGCAATAAACGATGCTGAAGTTTATTTATGTGAGTTATATGATTTTAAAAAGTTATTATAAAACTTAAATAATACAAGGAGATGAGCAAAACAAAAGATTAGTTAGATACAAAAAAAAAGCTTCAACAAATATTTAAAGAATAATGATAACGTTTGATTTTCAACGAATGGTTTTCATCATCTATGTCTGATGGATAAATATAAAATTTTATAATTTACGTGTTTTTTTTTCTGTAACACTATCAACTGTTATTTTTTTGCGATGCAGAAATATTTTGAGAAACTCTCAACTTTCTTTCCTTTATCAAATTTGAAGCATGTAGCATTCAATAAAATATAAGCATAACATTAATCAAAAAAATCTAGAAAAACAAGAACTTATCATGTATCATTATCGAGAAAAAAAAATAAGCTTCATTGTATTTAGTCGGTCTCTAATGTCTTACTCATTGTTACTAACAAACTTTCAATTATTTTCTTCATTTATCCAAAGTACATACAGAAACGACACTAGTGTAAAAAATGTGCTCGTATTCCGAAAGAGAAGAGAGTAAAACTTTGCAAGCATTAAAGATAGCTTTAGCTTATTCTTCATCGGTTACGTTTTTCTAAATTATATTCACAGTTTGAATATTTTTCAAATGAAAAATTTCAAGGTGAAAATTTTCCGATTTCTCATCATTCATATTATTCTATATCTTGTTTATGTTTGAAGTAAAGCATAATGTTATTTAAATATTGATTGATTAAAAAAACAGAAACCAATACAATTATTTTCAATTAGTTAAAATATGCACTATTACTATTCTAAAAAAAACTCAATATCAATCATAATCTTCTATTCGGATTTATTCTTCAACTCTTAATAATTATTACATTACATCTTCAAGTATACAGCATTGCACAATCCATCGAATCCTTCAATAGTTTAATAAGAATGATGTCGGAAAAACATAATCCTTTGCAGAATTCGTAGATGACCTCCGTGCTACTCCGTCTATTGTCAAAAACGATTGTATTTCTTCGTACAACAAACAGAGAAATATGATCGTCATACTGAGTCATGAAAAGTACCAAAATAGGATCATTTCACAGTGTATAAGGATTTCGTAGTTTTCGTCCTGAAATATTATTCATCGATGAACTTTAATTCTAATCCTTAAATACTCGTTTTATCATCGTATGGAATCGTTTGTATTACAGTTACCATATGGTAATTATATATAATTAGATTTCTATTCCTAGACAGTATTGCGACGGTCTAGAAAATATGAGATACATTATAATTATTGAAAAAAAAAAAGTCTGAAAGAATATTTCTTTAAACAAAAAAAAGAAAAGTAAAAGAATACATAAAAATTGACCTTGAAAAGCACTTTGTCAATTTTGAATTCTATTTACAAGTGTTTGAGTTTTAATTAAAAGTATAATAGTCGTTAGAAAACAAAGAATAAATAATCTGAGAATTATTTCCATAGTTACTTAAAATATAAATGTTTTTTTTTTTTTTGTTCTTTTTTAAACTTACATTTAATTTACTGGTATCTAAACTAGATATTTGAAAATGATTAGATAAATGATCATTTGATGATAATATACTTGATCTTGTTTCTATTTGATTAATATCTTGTTGTAAATCACTAGAATATAAACGACCACGAACTCGAAAATGTGGTTTACTTGACCATTCATCACAAATTTTTTTAATCGATAAACGTTTAGGTACTTCTTCATTATAAAGAACAGCATCAATTTGTTCAAATTCACGTCTTGATCGTCCACTTGTTTCATGTACATCATCTTCATCATAACCTGACAAAAGACTTGATCCACTTACTGAATGTGTACACATGATGTTTGTTATGTTTTGCTATTTTATTTTACAAACGAACTTGAATAAAATAAATGATCAAACTAAGAAATAATCAAAAGAAATGTAAAGAAAAAAAATAAATTATTCTCAATAAAATAATCATACGTAGGGGTTTATACAGAATATAGTTGAAACAACAAGTTACATTGTGACATGATATACTCTAAAGTACAACAAAAAGTAAATAGATACTTCTTAACAAATAATTTATTTCATAGAAAATAAAGAACAAAAAAAAAAGAATTATTATAACAATTGAGTTATTAATAGAGAAGTATGGATTATCAGTTATGACAAATCTTTTTTTCCTTTTTATTCTTCACTGGTTTTTTTTTCTTTCTTTTTGTTTAAATCAGAGAGCCGCCCTTCAAATACTAATTTTCTTATGAGAGAAAAGAAAAATAAGTGGTTTTTTTCTTTTCTTCTTCTTTCTTTCGTAACTTCATTTTTCATTCAAGTAATTTTTTATAAATGACAAATGTTTATTTAATCCAAACAAGAAAGCCATTGTTATGGATTGTTCCAGAGAGATTACCAAGGATTTCTGGCAATAATATAAAAGTAGACACTAAAAATAAAAGAAAAGTTATAATTCAGTTCTGAATTACAAGACTAATATATCTATTTTAAAATATTTCTTAGAAAAGTTATATAAAAAATTCTTTCAATAGAGGTCGCATTTTAACGTGCAATTTGAGAATGGTTTGCAATTCTTCTTACAGATCTCGTGAAAAAGATTCTGTCTAAAACAAGATCGAATACTATCAATAGTGAATGATAAGTTTTTTTTTCAACGTGTTTGAACTTATCCATATGAAAACGTTCGATATGTAAACTATACAAACGAACAAAATTAGTATATTGTAGACGAACTATCGTTTTGATGATATTTACATTTGAAAACAAATCAATATCATTTATGTTTTTTTTTCTTTCGAATAATTTTATTACAACACTAGTTTTTGAACCAAAAATTTATTTATTATTTTATGAAGTAGAATAATTTCAAAATAAAACAAAAGCAAACATTCATCAAATTTTCATTAACACCATATAATTCATGACACATAAAAAGCAAAAAAAACAGAAACATTTAGTTAACTAGCTTGCTTTAAATATGTTTGATTTCATCAAAACAAAACCAAAAAGAAAAACTGTTTCATATAGTATTGCCATTATGTTAATTAACAAAGACAAATAATTGAAGAAATTTTCAAATTAATAATGTTTTTTGCATGTGTAAATTAAGTATGGAATTTTCACGAAAACGAAATAATGGTTTTCCATAATCAAGACTTGATTCAATATAAATAATAAATGGTATAAGAGCAATAAATTCTAATCGAGTAAATTTCATTGTTTTTATAATAGGAATACGACTTTCTAATTCTTTTGTTACACGTTCATATTTACCATTATTTGTTCGATTCATAATTAATCCAACAAGATTATCAAAATTTATTGTAGATGTTACTGGTGAATAACGACTATCAAATTCATCAAGTAATTCAAGTACATCATCATGATAATAATTAAAATCAACATCATCTAATAATGAATTCCATATTTCTGAACTGAAAGATAAAAAATTTTTATTTAAAAAAAGAAAAAAGAAAAAAATTTTCTTCTTACTCTTGTTTAGCTACCATATCAACAAGTACAGCTGTTGCATAAAATTCTTGTAAACCAAAAAAAGTTGAATCACTTGTTATATCATATAACTAATAGAAACAAAAAAAGTCAATATAAATATAAAGACTTTTAAATAGATTTCATTTAAACTATACGAACTACACGAAAAAATGTTTCTTGAGCACGAGGTAAATTTGGTGGTAAACATTTTTGTACTTGAGGATATGTTAAATGTCTAAAGAATTATATTGAAATAGTAATTAATTTAGAAAAGAAATTAATATTCTTTTGCATACCCATCTCGATCTGTATCAAGTTGTTGAAATAATCGTTTTAATCTATTTCGTGTTGCTTCATTGAGTAATAAACCAACATCCATATGCTATACAAAAGGAAAAACAATTTTATTGAAATTATAAATAGAACATAATAAATATTGTGTACCAAAAATCCTTCAAAAAAGTTAACGTTAATATCTCTTACACAATTAAAGTGATTTAGTTTGTAAGTATGTTTCTGTATGTTTTCAAATAAATGTCTATATCTATGAACATTAGAATAAAAGAAGTTTTATAAATGATCAAAATTGAAGTATTTCGGATTGTGAAACACAAACTACAAATCGAATTAGGCAACAACACACCACATGAAGATTGTATGAGAGTTACATTTAAGTGTTTTTGTGAAACTGATACAGCGAAAGATTGAAACTTTAATTTGATCTTTAGTTGATATCTTTGTTGAATTCGACTTGTAGTTTTCGTTTCACAATCATGTATGACTCAAATTTGATCATTTATAGAAACTATATTCATCCTAATGTTAATCTTCATAGACATTTTTCTGAAAATATACAGAACAAAGCTTAAAAGAACATATTAACAAACGAAATCATTTGAATTGCATGAGAGATACTTTAAGTTAACTTTCCAGACGAAACGTTGGAAGATTCTATACCTTAAGTGGATTGTATGTTTTTGTTTGTAATTGAGAAGCATTAATTACAGCAGTAGTTGAACGACTAAGTGAACTATCGGGTCGACATGGTGGTGATTTACATTTAAAACTTGCTTTTTGTGAAAGATTAGCTTTGATCATACGATCTTTAATTAATGGTAAATGTTGTTGTTCAGTAAATAATGTAATTGAACGATGAGGTGCATAAATTGGTAGAATTGGTGTTGGTTGTAATACAGATCGCTTTGTAAAATTTGACGAAGGTATTTGAAGTTGTCTAAAAATTTAAAATATTTATAAAAAATCTATATTACAATATAAAACATACGATGAATCTTGAATATATGCTGATGGTATTGGTTTGATAACTAAAATAAAGTTTTACAAATTTTTTTTCTTCGAATTATTTCATTTTATATTTTACTTGATGTTGTTGTTCGTTTTAATAATGTTGGTAATTTAATTGATGATGTATCTCGTCCTAAACTTAGAAGAGGTTGTTGAGATTTTTTCAATGATCTTGGTGATAATTGATGAGTAGTTGTTGGCATTTTCTTTAAAACTGTGATAGATGAATTCAATGTTAGATTTGGTTGTGTTCGTTGTGTCATGATCGTTTTCTTAAAGTAATCAAAAAGCAAACCATTAGACAAAAAAAAAAGAAAAGATGTAATAGTTAGATTTTTCAACGTAAAAATTTTCGTTTTGTGTGCGTATGTATGTTTAGTTATGTTACATTCTCATAGACAGATGTATTACATTTAATGGAAACAATTCAATTGAGAAGAAAAAAATAGATTTTATATAAACATACTTCAATTTACACAAAAAAAGGAAAAAAAAAAGGTTGTGACACACGCTCACCTACATCATCTGAACTTTGTATTGATGTATTTGTTCGACGATTTGAAGAAATTATAATTGATTTATCTGATGTTGGAAGATTAGATGAAGTCAATGAATGTGATGTTAATGTTCTATGAAAAGAAATAAATAAAATAAATTATGTTTTTCTTTTTTGTTTTATTGAGTATCTTTGAGAGTATTTATGTTTTTCTTTAATTGAAAATGAAAATTTGAAGAATTTTCTTTTTTTATATATATGAGTTAAAAATCTAAGAAGAAAGATTTCTATTGGTTTATTATTCTATGAACAAAATTGAATATATTTTAATTCAAGGAACAAAAATTTTCTTATCAAACCAAAGTAATAATATGCATAGATTGTTTGTATTATATATTTCTCAATTGAAAATGAATGTTAAAGTTTTTTAATTAAGTTATTTGTTCGACTCATATTGAAATAATGAGAAAACACAATAGTTTATCTTGAAATTAATATTTCTTTTTTGTGAAACACGATCTAAGGAGAATGTTGAAGTACAACAGTAGAAAGTTGACCTCATTCGCCCTCCAACACAAACATAATAGACATTTTGTTACCGATGCATATTTCTTCTTTCATATTTACTGTTATAGATTACAATAAACAGTGGGTAGTTATATTGACAAACGGAAACATATATTAATGAATTCTTTGTTTTGTAATGTTAGCAGATCCATCGTGTTTCATATTTTAATCTCAGAGGAATTTTATAAACAATCTGTTATTTATCAAAATGATATTAATATTCTGATTTTAATCACGATATGGTTATAAATATACCCCCCCCCCCCCCCCCCCGGTCAGAATAAAAGGGCATGCCCTTATACAGTGTCTTGGCACATCGCTACTTTTCGAATGGCCTTCTATTGGGGGTCAATTTTTGGCCAGTATTTAATTAAAATCATTTAAAAAATTAATAATTAATTAATAAGTTTAATTATTGTAGTTTAGGTGTTTTTTTCTGAAAAAACTACCATTTTTTGTAAAAGCTGTACTATTAATGATAGGAAAGGAAGGATTTCGCAAAAAAACATTAGAAAATCGGTTATATTTCCTTAATTATTAATTAATATTTATGAAAATTTCATTAATTTTGGAATATATTAATTAATTAGTACATGGCCTTCTAGTAGGGCGTTTGAACCTTTGCTCGGACATGGTCTTATATAGGGGGTGGCCGTCTATTTTTGGGGGGTGCTTTAGTTATCTATCTTTTTTTCATTAATATTTTAATTTCTTTTATTTTTTTCTCGTCAATATATATTGTAACTCAATTTAAAATAGTTAATTCAGTATAAACTATTTCAAAATTATTAACATGTTTTTAATAATTCAGGCAAATATATAACTTGTTCTTTCGACTTTTACTTTCAATATATATTCGATCTTTTCAAAGATAAATAAAGTAAGAATTTTTGTATACAATGCATTAGTAGAAAAAAAAATTATAGTTTTTTATTTTTCTTCCACTTCCGCTAACTACTAATGTTAATATCGATAGTAAAATTCTATTTTAATCTTTACCTTGGAAAAATATTTTCCGACACTCTTCGATTTGCTATAAATGTTGTTCTTTTCGGTAATTGTAACATTGTTTGATCAACTTTTGTTAATTTTAGTTTTGAATTAATAGAAGAAGTTGTATTTTTAATTAAAAATTGATGATTAGTTTTACTCGATGAGATTTTTGATCCTAGTTCTAAACCAATTATTTCTAATTGTTTTTTTCCGGATTGGTCAACAAATGGAACAGATGACATATGATTTTGTTTATTATTAAATTTACTATGTAATAAATGACGTTCTTTATTTGTATCCATATTTGAATTAGTCTATTCAAAAACAAATCAATGATAAAATTTAGAAGAATTATTAGTTTTGGTTTCTCTTTTTGAAATTTAACCTGATTTGAATGATGAAGATCATTTGACTAAATAAGAAAAAAAATTAGTTTTCATAAGAAAAACCAACTTCAAATCTTACTAAAGATACACCAGCAATATATTCATATTTAAATTGTTGATGTGAATCAACGGTATTCATTCTTATTATACGCAAATCAGACAATGAATTCTATTAAGTTTTGATTCTATTATCTTTGAAGGTTTATTTCTTTTTTTTTTTTTGTTTCTTTTTTATTTTTACTTTCACTGTTATTTTATTGATTACTTAAATAAGAAAAAAAATCAGTAAGGAAAAAAACGATAAAGAGAGAAGAGAGAAAAAAATCGGTACAAACGTAGAAATCGACACGAACAAACACAAACATTATTAATGTAAAAAAAAATGAAAAAAGTATTAAAAATAACTCTTATAACAATAACAATTGTTCGTTTCGCATAATTATTTTTTTTTTCGTACTTCTACTTCACAAAAACGTCCATCATTTCAACATAATCTTCTTTTGTATTATTTTGTTCATCATTTATAAATGGCTTCTCATTTTCTAAAATTAATTTTCCATCATTATTATTTGCTTTTGCTGTTAAATTTTCATTTTTCTCCAATTCTTTTCTTTTTTTATATTTGATTACACGACTGCGTATCATATAAACAAGCCAAAATGGTTTTGTTGTTAAAAAAGCTACGACAAGTGGTACAACAATGGCTTTTGTAGCATATGGTTGAGGAAATGAATAATACATAATCATGAATGCAATACCAGTATTTTGTATTCCAGCTTCAATACCAACTGTTTTTATATGAGACCAATTAAGACGACATACCCAGGCAATGAAAGCACCAAACATAAAGCCTAAATAAGGTAATAATGGGGCTGTTAATGCTGTATGTAAATCAATTGTTCTAATCAAATACCAATTAACAACCGTGCCGAAAATAAGAAAAAATAACAACAGAAATAACATCATTGGTTTCACAAGAGTTTGAACAATGGAACGAGTTTTTGGTGAACAATGACTAATACCAATACCAATACTATATGGTAGAACAACAAGTGCTAACGAACGAAGAAGACCTAAAAACGGTACACTTATGGATAATTCCCTCATATAAATACGTCCTATTGTATAAAAATAAAGTGGCATCATAACAAAAGATGAAGCTGTTGATACAAATGACATAACAGCTGATAGATTAACATCTCCATCAAATAAAAGTGTCCATTGATTTGAAGCACCACTACCTAAGAGAAAAATAAAAATAAAAATTTGTTTTTCATTTTTTTTTTCTTCGTATAAGAAAATATTTATGTAAGTTTTATTTTACCTGGACAACAACCAATAATAAAAAGTGCAAGACTATATAATGGTGAATAATGAAAAATTTTTGCAATAGCCATTGCTAAAAATGGCATAAGACCATATTGAGAAATAAAACCAACAATAACTGGTTTTGGATTTTTAATAAGATCAATTAAAATTTTTGTATCAAGTAATATACCCATTTGTATTGATATAAATATAACAAGAAATGGTAATATTATATAAAATAATCTATCAATTATACGTTTTGGTTGTGTAACAAGAATATTTAATGACCATGTATGTGATGATATTGAATCATCATTATAAAATATATCCAAAGAAAATGTTAAATTTGTTATTTCCATCATAGTACTTGTTATTGACCATATTATATCAATACTAATTGGATCTTTAAGATGAATTAATGTAGGTGATGGATATGCATTAAAAATATGACCAAGTGCATTTTTACTAGGTACTAGAAAATAATTAAAGTTCTTCTTTAAATTGATCGTAAAATTTTTAGGTACATTTTTAGAAAAGAAACAAATTATTTAACTATATTTCCAAAGCAAAAATATTGAGATAAGAACATAAAACGGATTATAAGTTTCTATAATCATAATAAAGAAATACTTGAGTTTTGATTACTTTTTATTATGTATGTCCTATAAATGTCATATTGGAGCAAAATAATCAAATGAATATGACTCATAGTCGTAAGAGTCAAAGAAATCTTATCAGAAACTATTTCATGTTTATTCTTTTAGTGTCTTCATTAAGTACTTTTATCTGTTATTTATATATATTTAATAAATTAGTCCCTCTATGTTTATTGTAAGTCACAAGTTTATTGTGATATGAATATGGAAAGACATTGATGTTCCTACGAATTTTTATGAAATCTAACAATATGAAAGCCTATCATAGTTCTATCATAAGAAGACATTCACTCATCTAGAAAGACTTATAACTTTACTGATTATTATTCAATGAGAAAATGTTCTGTTTTTGATTATTATATGTTTACAAATATTTGAATAATCTGATATAAAGAAAAATCTAATTTAAACTTCTATAAAAATTTTCGAATTCTTAAATTAAATTTAAGTAATACTTTTTTGAATTCAAATAAAATATTTATAAAATTATTAACTCACATATAAATAAATCTTCAAGTAGAATATTATTCGAATCATTGGCATTTGTCATTCTTGTTGGTATCATAACTTCTTTTTGAACATGAACTATTCTAGTATCTGTTGATTTTACTTGAAATTTAAATCCTACAACATTATGATCAGTGGTATTTCGATCACGATAAAGATCATCTGGACTAATACGTATTGTAATATAATGTGTTTGAAAAAGAGACATTTCATAATTTTTATTATAAAACGATTGTAATTCTTCAATATTTTGATCATTGTTATCATTAGTTTTCTTAATAAATATTTCAAAGCTATGAATACATTCGACAATTGTCATAAATAATATCAACCATTTGATAATATATTGCTCTTGCATTTCGTTTGATAAAGTGTCTTTTTACTTTTTTTTTTTATACTTTAGTGTGATAATATAATGCTTACTTTTTTTTACGTGTTTCTTTTTAACTGCAGAACACAACGAAAAAAATATTTATACAAAGAACGACAAGAACATAATAAAGATAATATTATATTGTTCATATAAAAATTTCGTTATTTTTGTTTTATGCAACTTATATATGAATATTAAATAAAAAGGCAATGTTATGCATCAACAAACTTGAATAAAAAATCGTGAGTATAATCGATCAACGTCTAATAAGATTATAAAAAGCTAGTAGGTAGCATGTATGCCCCTAAATAATTAGAATGGACTTTTTATATTTTTCTTTTTTCACTCTAATATCTTGATAAAACATTGAGCAAATGAATTCCAATTTACTTATCAGGTCGGCATATGTTTTGTCTATTCATTCGTAAAAGAACTTCTGCAAACGATTGAGAAATGATTCAGTCATAAGCAATTGAACGAAATTGACTGATCACGTTCTGGATAGGTGCAATATTCTCAATGAGAACTCCAATACAAATGTTGCATTGCATTAGAACGCATGGATGCAAATGCATAGAAGAATATTCTTCTATGCATTTACACTTATGCACTGTAGATCGATGCAACTTTTTCATTGGAGTTCTTATTGAGAACATGGCATTTATTCAGAATGCGGTCAGTCAATTTCATTCTATCGCTGATAACTGAATTATTTCTCAGTCTTTGTCAACATTTTTTTTACGAATAGATAAACAAGACACGTGCTCACTTGGTCACTATATTGGTGTTCATTTACTTAATATTTTACCGAGATACTAGAATGAAAACAAAATTATATAAAAGTTCCGTTCTGATTAGAAACAAGCAATATAATGACTGACTAAGCATTAATTAAATAATGTAAAATTTAAATCATTAGCTGAAGAGAAAATTTTTTATTATTGAGAAATATCTAATACATTAAACAAATGTAGAAATTTTTTTTAAATATGAAGTTTATTGTAAGAATAATAATAAGAGAATTTCGGATCTTTTAACGTTCATTTTCAACCAAATACCAAGACTATGGTTGTTACAAACACAAAAAAACAAAAACAAAACAAAGAGAAATCTATAACGATTATAAATCTAAGTAGTTTATCATTTTGATATTGATTTTAAAATTAATACTGAATGAACTCAAATTGAGCATAATCTAACATAAGATGCGGATTCATATGGAATTTCGATGTTAAAATGAGATGAATTAATTTTCATATCTCATAATGAAACGAACAACAATATAAATGAAAAAATAGTCGACTAGTTGTTATAAGGAAAGGAATATAAAACAAGATGATTTATGTCAATTATTGAGAACTTCAATAATTTTTATCAATATTATAAAACCCAATCTCTAAATCATGCAAAGTGTTACTACTATTGTTGGTGTTAAAATAAAATGCACCTCAGTGTTTTTTTTGAATATCTTTAACACGAAAGTAACTATAAACCTGCGGTTGTCAATATTCAAAAAAGAAACGTAGAAGAAGTGAAACTTTGCTGAATTATCTGGACTATGTATTGGTGAAACTGGTCAGTTTTGGCTGTAGATTTTGATCAGAATCTTTTGAGAAAACTTTCGAAGCTTGTTCCATTCAGGAGTTGTAAGTGTTTTATTCAAAGCTTTGAAATCAGTCAACTGACCACTGGTCACTATAAATTGTATTGAGTTTAGTGTATTCTATTATATTGAGTCCATTGATGGTATCTGGTTTTAGTTTCAATATGATTGTAGGTTGATAGATTATGATTTTTATAATTCAATCTGTACAATGTTTAACGTCACATGAGATGTTTTCAAGAGTATGGTTTTCTAACGTGAGATCATTTCAAAACGAATAACAGATACCATCATGAGACTTAGTATAGTCAAATACGCCAAACACATTAAAGTTTAGAATGGTCAGTAGTCGGTTGGCTGATTTCAAGACTTTCAATAAAACGTTTATAACCTCTGCATGAAATAGGTTAGGAAAGTTTTTTCGAAAACTTCTGATCAAAATCTATAGCAAAAGCTCACCAACTGAACCAATACGTAATGTAGACAATTCAAGAAAGTTTCACATCTTCCACATTTCTCTTTTGAATGTTAAAAAACCGCAAATTTCTAACTACTTTCGCTCTCAAGATACTCAAAAGGAAAATATCAAGATGCTTTTTATTTTGACGCCAACAATAGTTTCCTTCATTAAATAAATCAATGCGCAATAGTCTACTCTTTCGAAAGCAGACTCAAATGACATCATTTTCGACTATGAAGAAACACTTTACCTTGATACACAATTCAAATCTTTTCTTTTGTCATTTATATATAAACATTTGCTACTTTAAAAAAATATCAACTCAAATATAACATAAGAATCGTTCGTGATGACCTATTCTCTTAGTTTCAAATGTTGCTGTTAATCTTTATTTCAGTACAAATATATCTTATATAAATCTTGATCTAATTTCAATAGGACAACAGACTATTCACATATATTTTTGAACGTAATAAAATATAAATTTGACAGACACGAGAACTATTTTAATCATAGCTGTGACTCATTGTTAGCATGGTATGTCATCTGTTCTTATCTACCTTCATCCATAAATACACTAGTTTTTCATGTTTCATTTTAAACAAAAACACAAAACGAATCTTAAATTTCCATATGAATATGGCTACATCATTGTCTTCTTCAATTAGTCAACTTAAAATTCTTTTAGTTGGTGACAGTGCAACAGGTAAACATTGTTATGTAGAAAGACTTTCACATTATATATTCCCTAATGATACTCGTAAAAATGTAAGTTATTTGTTTTCGTTTCTTCTCTATTGTTATGACCTCATCAAAATTTCTATTCAATGAATTATAATTATTATAGGAGGAATGTGATATAATTTCAACTAAAATAAAAATTGATGAACATACTGAAATTCCAATACAAATTTTCGTAAAGAATTTATAAAAACACAAGAAAATTTTCATTTTTTAATAAAAAAAAATTATTTCTAGAATATTTCTGGTTCACAATGTGGTAAAACAAAAATAAATACATATTTTAAAAATATAGATGGATATATTATCATGTTTGATGTAACTCGTTCAGAAACATATGATAATATAATACTTTGGAAAAAAATTATTAATAAAATAAATCAAACAGTTAATTTACCATGTTTATTATTGGCAAATAAAGTTTGTTTAATAAAAATGAAAAAATTTTTTTTTCAAAGTTCTTTTTTTTAGTCTGATTTAGAAGAAGATCAAGACTTAAATAGTATTATGGATACTATGAATAATTATTGCGAAGCAATTGGTTTTTGTGGTTATTACAAAATATCAAATAGAGATAATATTAATATTGAAGAATCGATTCAAACTTTAATTAATGAAGTATAGATAGCTTGATATTAACATTGACTTTTTCTTTATTTAAAACCTGTAGATCATTAAACGTAAAAATTCACCGACAACAGCTTCTCCTTCAGAGTCTATATCTCAAAATAGAACAATATCTGTTGAAGAACGAAAACAAGAATATACGATGAAAATTTTAGTTATTGGTGAATTAGGTACTGGTAAAACAGCACTTATACAACGTTATGTCAATAATACTTTTTTAGGAGTTTATCGTAGTACGGTATGTTATTTTTCTTTGAATAAAAATATTAATTAATAAATAAAATATTCTAGATAGGTAGTGATTTGGCTGTTAAAAAAATTCAATATAATGATCATATTACTGTTAATCTTCATATATGGGTTTTGTAGAAAATACAAAAAGTTTCTTTTTAAAACTATTAATCATTTTAACAGGATATTTCTGGTGAAGAACGATTCGGAGCTATGACACATCTTTTTTATAAAGATGCAGCTGGATGTTTACTTGTATTTGATGTATCAAAACCATCGACTTTAATAAATGGTGCAGTGAAATGGAAAATTGATTTCGATAGTAAGGTTAATATTGATGACAATAATCAAGTACCATGTTTACTAATTGGAAATAAAGTAAAAAATTTCTTTTCTTTTCTTCACATGGAATATATAAAAGAATGAAGTTATTTTTTAATAATTTAGTGTGATCTAGTAAAAGAAGGTGTTGTAGCAAGTGAAGCACATATGACAGAGTTTTGTCGCAAACATAAATTTAATCGTTGGTATGAAACATCTGCAAAAGAAAATATTAATATTGGAGAATCGATTTTCTTTCTTATCAAAGAAGTAAGAAAAAGAAAAGTTTTATTGCATTTTAAAAATTATTCTTGATATTTCTAGATATTGAAAAATATTAATAGTATGAAAGTTGTAAGACGAAGACATTCTGACGTCATTGAAATTAAAGAAGAAATTTCATCAAACACTAATATTCGTACATGTTGTCATTAGTAATTTCTGTTATTTTCTTTTTCATAATAATCGTTTGTAAATCAACATATTGTTTTTTAACAAAAAAAAAAAAACAACATTTGTTTTTATTATTTAAAAAATTTTCGATTTGTATTTTTCTTTATTACCTTATATATATTATGTTTTAGTAAAATAAACTTATACATGATTAAAAATTATTTATTGAAACAATAGACTACCATAGGACGAAAAAATGATTCAGATAATTAAATTATAATTTATACAAGAAATGAAAATTTTTACTGATTGATTAAAAGGAATGGTTTTTTTGACAAACAAAATACTTGTTAAGACAACGCCAAATACAAGTCAAAAATGTAAAATCCACATAATCCCTTGTGGTTTTAAGAATATTGATAATTTTCTTCAATAATTCTCAATTTCTTTTTCGAACTAGAAATAGGATTGATTTACAAGTACATAACCAATGATTAATATCTATTCAAATTTTTGTATGAAACAAACTTGTGAAATTTTGCAAAAGAACTATTGAGACTGGAAAAGAAGAGACAATTCAAGATCATTTTCTCTTTTGTCTATCAATTAATTTCTGTCGAGGTTTAGAACTTATGAAACATCCTATAAATAGATATAAATAAGCGTGGGTGGGACCTATCTCTGTCTTTTCCAATGGAACCGAAGCCATCATGCCCATATCAATTTAGAACAAATAAGTTGTGACAACATGACATTCGATACAAGCTTTATACGACCACAAAAAATATCGTTCTCAATGAAATAGTGTATTAGAATTGGAATAAATGTTTCGAATTCGTCTGTGACTTTTGACTATTGAGCTATCGATGAATCTCGAAAAAACTCAAAAACTTTTTTGGAAGAAGTAAAGAAAAACCTGAAATGGAATTTGTTCCAAACATACTACAAAATTTTATCGAATATATTGTAATATACAGAATTTTATTCTCTAAAAAGTAGTAATTTATTCATAAACTGTTGAAGAATAGTAAAGATTTTGATAAAGTTTATCACAAGAAAAATGGCTAGTTTTCCAATTTTCGCTTTTTTTTAGCACAAAATGTCTTTCCGTCACTACTCTATCATTTTTTAGCGGATTAACCAAAACTCCATTCTTGCGTCATTTTGTAGAGTAGAAACCAACCGTAGGGTACTATATATTTACAGAACTTATTTGATGTCGACTCCTCTTCAATATAATAAGATTTTTCTCTCTCGACAAATCTTTTTAAAGTCCTGTCAAGATTTACTTATAGCTTAAAAGTCATAAAAAAAATTCTGAATATTTATTCTGAATGAACACAACATTCTAACTCTAATACACTATCAATGGATTTAAATACGTGAAAAATAGTCACATATTTTGTCAAGAAACTTTCAGTTCATCCATTCCTTAATACGTTGCTCACAAGTAGTCAAAGTATATTTTAAGCATTTTTATACATTATTAAGATAAATCGAAAAACTATTATACATTTATTTTCAAAAGAAAAAGAACTTATAAGTAAAAGGCAAGTTTTTTAGACAAATAATGATTCTTTAAAATTGAACTGATTTCATCAATTTTTCGTTGTTTTTTTTTCAAATAATATAAATTTTCATTAAGAAAAGTGATAGAAACTAATGTTTCATTTTTCTACATGCTGCACCTATTTCAACTAATAAATTATTGATTGTTTTTATTGATCTATTTTGTTTTAATGAACAATTAAATATTGTTTGAAATTGTTGATTTTTTTGTAATATTCGATTAATATGTAATTCAATGAAATTTTTTTGTTTATTCATTAATGAAATAATATCATAATTAATATGTATACATTCAGATTGAACATATGTAATAAAAAATTTTTTCATATCATCTGATGTTAATGTACGATTTAATTGTTGTTCATTATAATTAATAATTAAATGAAGTGAAATTAAATCAGCAAAATATTCACGTTCAGTTTGATTTATTTCACATGGACATAATGCATGACCAAGTTCATGTCCAATAAGTAAAAGTGCAGCTAAACGTGTTGTTTCATTTGAATAAAGTTCAGCTACTGTTGGTTGTAAAAATATACCTTGTTCAATTGTATGATGACCATTAATTTCAAAAAATGTATGAATTGGTTGAACTAATTCTTCTTGATAGTTTTCTATTATATTCCATGCTGTTGATAAATAATTATCTTCAATTAAATAATATTCATATGGTATATGTAATTTTGTTGATGAAAGTTCATGAAATAATTTAAGACGTTCAGGTTTTATATGAAATTGTATTGATGATAAAGAATCATTATTATCAGAATTTTTTACAAGAAGATTACTTAATTCATTAGCTATTAAATAAAGTTGTTCAGTTTTATTCGACATATATTCTTCGTAAAATGATGATAATGTAAATGGATAATAATATTCAAGTAAAGTTAGACAATCATTTGGTATATGATTTGATGGTAAAAGTAAAGAATGAATATCTTTGATAGACAAAAAAACAAAACATAGTATATAGTAATGAAAAACAAAGAAGAAAACTTTAGTTTTGTTGAAAATAATAATCGATCAATTATGAATGAAATTAAATACATTAGAAACAAGTTTTTCATGCAATAGACTTGGAAAACTTTATTTTATACTATTTTTGTCAGACGTTTTAACTATTTCATTGTTTAATTTATTTCAAAGAATAACTTTTGAAGCCAAGTCTAGTCATGAAGATTATCCAAAATTTTATATTCGTGCGAAATTCTCACCAAAATTATTAGATGATTTTTTTACATGAATGAATATAACTTTTACTAGGATTTAGCCTATCAAAGTTTTCTTAATTTGTAGCTAGAAGTTTGAGTCGATTGAATAAATCATTATTGTCGCGATACGAAGGTAGCCACTATAATTTGGAAAAATATTCGGCATTCTATAGTCAATTTTTTTAGAAGACTTAAAATTTTACTTTCGAGTACTTGCACGAACAAGTCAACAAAGAAAAACCAAACAAATAATCTGAATGAGAGGATCAATGACTAATAAATCTTAGACAAAAATATCGAAAACTTATTTTTTTTAGATGTTTCATTTTTTTTCTGACTGAAATATTATCTCAAATTTCATATTGAATAAAGCTCAAGACTCGTTAGGATCTAAGGAAATATTGAAAACGTTCTCTGGTCAGAACTGATCTACTCGAACAATTAGTTTCCGAAACTGAACTATTCAAGCAACTATGGTTCCGTTTTTAAGAAAGATTCTTCTGGTCACAAAAAAAACTTATCATCTGTTTTGAAGATTGTAGTTATATGAAAAGGTCGTCGTACTCGGCCAAACTATATTGTGATACTTTCAATGACTGACTCTACTTTCGGATATAAATAACATTTGCTCTAAATCTAGAGATATGATCTGATCTGAAGTTTGAACCGCGAAGCTGGTCGATTGCTAATATTGAATGAATTTGATAGAGAAGCATTACTAAAAATCAATTGATTGTATAATTTTTAAGAACTAATAAATGACTCGTTTAGTATTTTTATCATAAAAATTATAAATAATTTTATAACCTAGCTTATGAATTTATGAAAGAACAAGAGTAGAATAAATATCAAAATACAATAAAAAAAAACAACAATTTATCTTACTGATTTGTTCTTTTGCATGTTCTTGTAAAGTTTGTTTCCAAAGACTTTTTAAACTAATTTGTATTCCTTCATGAAAAACACTAACAAATGGTAATAATTTAGGTCCATATTTATAAACCATTAAATTACAATAATGTGCAAAATGATCAGCAAATAAAAATCGAAATATTGAATCAAGTTGAAAAAAATCTACTAATCGTATTTCAACAGTTACAATTGGTGATGAAATTTCTTTTATTTGTTTTTTTGTATAATGTATAAATGTATTCCAATATGAAATTATTTCAAATTGATTATGACGAACTATTGTTGAATATAAACATGTATAGGATGCATCACCTGGCCATGAATGAAGAATTATATGAATTATTGATGATGATATATAATCAAGCCATTTTTCTAAATTTGTATCATTTAATGATCGAAAACGAATATAATAATTAAGAAATAATTGACATTGATATAATATTGTACTACGAAATATTGGTACATTTAATAAATATTGTTCAAGATCATGAGTAAAATTTAAAAATAAATCATAAATATCTGTATTATTTAATGATTCAATCATATTTTGATCTAACATAAATTGTATTAAATCTCGTAAATCATTTGGACGTCTTACAGATGAATAAACAATTGGTAAAGATTCTTCATTTGATATTAAATGATGTAAGTCATCATTTATTGAAGAATTTGAAGATGTTAGTGTTGATGTTAACAATTCACTATATTCTTTTAATGTATTTGCTAAAGGACCAACTCGAGCTGATTGATAACATAAATTAATATGATTTTTTCGTACATAATGTTCAAATAGACTAGCTTGTTCTATTTGATGTATTAAAAGAAATTTTTGTTGATCTTGAATTTTTCGTTGAATATGAATTATAATTTGTGTACCAAGATTTATTGTATTTATATTCCATATATGCATTAATGGATGTTCAATCATTTGTTCAAAAAGAAAATGTAAATGATCTGTTGTAGAAATAATTTCATAATTATTTGTAAACCAAAAATGATCATATGCTAATCGTTGTAATTCTTCAATAAGAACTGATTCAGATGTATGAACACATTGATGATAATAAAGTAACATATTAGATATTGATTGAGATAAATCATTTGGGTTTAATGTTGATTCACGTTTAACTAGTTTATGATCATCATCATCAACATCATATTCATGATGCAAAGAATAGAATTGTTCAAGTCTACGAGAAAAAAAACGAACATTTCAGTTTGTCAGTGATTCTAAAAGGTAGAGTATATAATGATTCGATGGTCATAATAGAGTTCACAATGTTATTATTATAAATCTCATATGAATCAACAGAATATTTAAAAATAAAATCTTTATAAAAAAAATGGGAAACGTTGTTTTAAGATTATAAAAGTAATTGATAGCAGATTTTTTCCTTAAGTTTAATTGTAGTGATGAATTTTTCTTCAAAAGATTAAGAATGATGTTTGAATATAGCGCAATGGAAACTATTACGTGAAAAGATTACAAAATTTTTTAAAACGATACATGGGCATGTATAGTATTATTTAATCGAATTTCATTTTACTTTATATGCTCATGTTAAATTATATTTTTACTAGAAACATTTTGAGATAGATCAACTAGTATGGGATATACATATGAATGCCCTAAGACCGACAATCTTCTTTCACTTATTGGAACACCATTATTTTTCTTTGGTATAGTTTTAAAAAATAAATTTGAATTCATCCGCATGATATCGATCGATTTTACTTTTCTCAATTCATTCGGAACAAGCTTGATTGTATAAATCTAAATTTAAAAAATCCAGTTCAAGATAAAAATTTGATTATTAATTTTTGTATGAAATCCTTCGTTGAACAATAACTAGAATTAGATAAGAACGAATTTTACTCAAAAAGAAAGTTCATCATTAATTCTTATTGATTTTAATATAAATGACAGAAAGTATATGAACATAATTTGAAAACCAAACTTAGCGATCATGATTAACTATCTACTTCCACACACTAATCTAGTAGACTTGATGTTAAGACAATGACGAGAATAACTTATATGTAGCTACTGATCATGACACTGATATGAGCAATTTGAATAAAATCATTTCACACTAAAGGTATAGAATGAATCATAAATGACTGATTCGTCTTGAATAACATAAAAAACTGAATTTATTGTTAATTTGTTTTTTTCTCAGCTATATTGTTATTTTATCTGTATAAAACTGGAAATCTATTTATCATGAATTATTTTTCTAAAAATAAGACATTGTGAGGGATTAAATATAGTTAGACATTTGCAAAGATGTCTATTTTCCGATTGAAATTGAGAAACTCATTTTCAAGATTATATCCGACTCGTTAATCTTCATTCTCTTTTTATAATATACAACCATTAATTCTGATTTCAATTCGGAACCACTCATACGTGTTGTTAAAGTCTCGCATAGAAGAAAGGTTATAACAAACACTGCAGGTTTCTATCTTTTATCAATAAAAAATTATTTAAAAACGACTGTGGAGTGTGAATGTCACTTCTAATCTTCTCTCACTTTCTACTCACACCGATATTCACACCTGATTACGTCAATATCCGCATCGACACCTATAGCCAGACTTACATTGTCTAAGAGATGTTTACGTAAACTTTCCTCAGGAACTTTTGAGATACCCTATATATAGTTTCTATGAATGAATGAAAAATGATCCGACAGGAAGTTAAAAGTTAAGAAGTTTTTCTAAATAATCAACTAGTTTCATCTCCAAGAAAAGATGATAGATGTAAAATTTCTTTTATTAAAAATTAAGTGCATTTGAACTTACTCATTTTTTTCTGATGTTACTGCATCAAAGCTATCCACATCTGTATCGTAGGTTAATTCTTGACTTTTTTTTCTCTCGATTTTTATTTGATAATTATAAGCTTCAATTTCACTTAAATTAGTTAATTTTTTTGCAAAATTTTCTCGAATATCTTTTGATCTTTCTGTTAACCAACTTCGTTTATATTCAAGTGATGATAATGGATGATTTGATAACCATTTTCGACAAACAAAACCATAAAAATCATTACAAATATCACTAGTAAAATCTAATTGATCAATCCATAATGCATCAAAATGTTCAAACAAATGATATTTATGATCTTTCGCATTTTGTTCTGGTAATTTCAAAAGAAATCGATGTGAAAAAAAATTATATTGAGGTATATGTTTTGCATGAATAATAAACAAAATAGTAAAAACAAATCCAATAATCAATGCAATAAAAATACTAAGTAGAAAGCAAACAAATTTAAAACGTACACCTGGCTTTTTGGATACTATTGGAAATGGTAATGAACTTGTTGATGGAGGCGTTAATAGACTAGTAGATGTTGCTGCTTGTGGTGGAATTGAAGTTGTTTCGTCAAAATGAACTATTTTACGTAATGGACTACTACTAAAAACTGTATCCGGAACATCTTGATTTTCATTCATTTTATCTAAAGACAATTACGCAATAAATTAATCTTCAATTAATACGAAAAACAATAGAAAGGGTTTTCTAAGGAAGTTCCACTCCTTTGTTCTAATATGTAGGAGAAACAGAGACGAGTCTGCACTATTTTTCGAGTAACAATTGATTTCGAGAAAAACAAAAACAAAACAAATCTTGTTAATTATTCGATCTTTTCTTCCCTAATTAAACGAAACAAAATGATTTCTTGGATTTCTAATGAGTTCTATCACTGGAAGTTAATTTTTATCTGTTCATTGTGAATCAATAGGAATCATCGGAAATGCTTAGAAATGAAGGAAAATCACTTGAGATCATTGGAAATCAAGAGCAACCACTAGGAATATTGGCCATTATTGAAAATCAATAAAAGTTATTAGAAACTAGGGTTTCTTTTACTTTTAATCTTATTCCTGACGGTTTTTATGATTTAGAGTGGTTTCTAGCATAGAAATCACCTTGTTCCTTCTTAAACTAAAGTAATCGAAAACTGGTCATGTTCAGTCGTGTAAGAGCTCATTGACTGATGTTCTCATCATATTCTGAATGTGAAATAATCCTTATCATTAGAAGAATTTCGCATGCAAAGCATAATTGCAGTGCAAGCTTTTCTGATAGAGATTTCGTGAGCTTGATTTAATAAAAGTAGTAACTAACAGAGAAGAGAGCCCTTATTTTATATGGCTATTTGATAGAGAACACTTCGAAGTCATATCAGCGATATAAAACCAAAAATAAAAAAAAAAATTTGAATTTCACATTCGAAAAGGCGGAAGCAATTTCCATAAGAGAAACTATTGGAGATGGCATAGGTTCTAATAAAAACGTCAAGTCTTCTAAAAAAAAAAAACAAGACTTGAAATCAAAACCGATATTAGAATATAAAAACTAATCGAATCTCATTTTGTATACATAATACTGTCAATCTATTTATAATGCCTTCTACTAGACCTTGAAATGTCAAGAAGATACTACAGATATATGTCCTTGGATTTTTCTAGTACGACACTATGCAAAGATATATGTGCTTGTGGTCGTTCCCACAAGATTCAAGTTGCCGATTTCATTATTCTCGTCCAACGCTCTTTTCCTCTTCTTTTTTTTTCTTAATCATTATATCTACCCGAGAAAACTGAATTACATTCATTCTCGCATGCATACATACTCATTTTTCTATTTGACCAGACATCAACATCGTCCTCGTTCTCATCATCATCACCATCATACTGACGTTTTTTTTTATACTTTCCTAATACAAACGAAGGTCTTGAAATAACAATAGATGCAATTAATAGTTTCTTCTCTTGAGAACAATTATTTCTCTGACCTTTTTTCTCTCTTTTTTTTCAAACGAATTACGACGAACTCAAATATAACGGAAATGATTTTCTCATTGATTTTTTTTAAAGATTTTTAAATTCAGGAAAAAAGTACTCAAATCATCAATGATCTGTTCTATTTTGTTGTTCTCTCACCTTAATTTTGTATACAATAATAGAATACTTCAAAGATAAAATGAATCTTAAATCTATATTCATATGTATAATAAAAATGAAAATAAATAAAAATGTTCAACATTTTACTTGTTCGTTCTTTTCTTTTTTTTTTCTTTTTTTCTTCTCTCTTCTACTTTTACAAAGAAGGACACAACAAAACATATGATGAATGTACAAAATATATATCAATTAGCTTCTACCATCCAACAATATAAAGCACCTTAATTAATTTTCTCTTGCTTCGATATGTAAATTGATCTTTACTCTTTTCTATCGTTCATTGACGACAATAATTGTCTCTTTAAGTAACTCCGACTAATGTCGTATTACATTAAACCATTGATTGATTCTTAGTTGTTGTTTTCAGAAAAAATACCATTATTCATTGAGACTTTCTATTCCACAAGGTCATACAAGTCTCACATTTGTTTTTTTTTTTCGTTTAATCAATTGTTCAGGGACATTGTTGAAAAAAAAAGTGATTAATTAAAAATTCAATATGTTATATACATACATAGAAAAAGAACAACGAAAATTCATACAATAAATAAAAATGTGTCAATGTTCTATATTATGTAAGATCACCATTGAATATCATTCTTATTAGGTTGTATGTGTCATACATATGTGCATTGTATGCACCATCAATAATTGCCTAGATATCGAGAGACTAAATTCTATAAGAATGTCAAATGTGTAATCAAAGAAGACAGATCAATAGAAAAAGAGAGATGAAATGATAAAATACAATGAAGAGTTTTACATGAGTAACACAAAAAAGAAAGAAAAGAAAAAGGAACGTAACATATTTTGTATATCTTAAGAATGACAATATAATTTTTCTACTCTTGACTTGTTAAAGAATATAATAAACAATCAATAATTAATAATTTTCTTTTCTGTTGTCAAGTGAAAATGAACATTATTGTTAAAGTATTCAATGCTACTTGACTTAGTATCAAGTGCTTTTACTTCTAAATATCTACTTGTATTCAAATCAATGAAGCAGAATGATTGAAATTATATAACACATATGCATTAGAAAAAAAAGACAAGGACAAAAAAATTCGTTGAGTTTAATATACGATGAAAGAGAAAAAAAAAGAAAAACTTTCTTTATAATTTTTTAAAAATAATCATCAATGATATAACAAGACAAATGCCAAGAAATATGATTATAATCATATATATAGCATATTTTGATGTTATATAAGATAAAGAAAAACCAAAACATGAATTATTTTCATTAATTATTTTATTAAAAAATTGTATATATCCATATGAATGATAATCAATATTCGAATTATTTTCAAATGTAATTTTTCTATTATGATCTATTGGTGATTTTAAATTTGAATATTGTATTGATTGATAATAATTTTTTAATGGAATTCGTTGTAATTGATTAGATATTGTTGATTGCCCTTGAGAATAAGTTAATATTGGATCTTGTTTCTGTTGAATTTGATCAATATCAATAGATAAATTAGTTTGATCAGTTTGAAATATTGAATTATCTTTTATGATTTTTTGATGTGAATTTGTATCAGATATTTGTTGTTTATTAAAAAAGAAGGAACTTAATGAACGATGTTTTTTTTTTTTATTATATTTATTAGATGAATTTATTGTATCAGTTGATTTACTTTTTGAAATAGTTTTAGATTTATTAATTTTCCACCATTTCGGCATTCTATTTTTTTTTTCTATGTTTAAGATGGCATTATTAAAATAAACAAAGAAAAAAAAATGTAAATAAAATCTAAAAAAGAAAGTACAACAAGAAAACGAAATTGTTAAGCATTATTATTTCTAATATAATAAATTATTCGAATTTTTATAAATATTTGCTTGACAATTAAAAAATAATTTATTAATGGATGCCTAGATATAGAAACAGTGAGCATTGTTTTGTTGTTGTACCAAGTTCTCTTCATTTTATTACAAATATAAATTAATCTTTTTCCAATACTAAGCAATATTGTTAATCTAATCAGCTCAGCATTAAATTTCTTTTTATAAGAATAAGAAATTAGATAAGTTACGTAGGAGTTGAAAAGTAGCTTATAAATGATAAATATTAATATTATTCAATCCCGTAACTTAAAACTTAGCGAATAATGAAATATACGACTAAGATTGTATTGTCATCAAAAATTATTTTATAGGACATAAATTTATTTTAAAATATTAAACTATGTTAAGTTATAAATGATTGACAGAAGTTTTAAGATAGAAAAAAAAAAGATTTATATTTGAAATTCAATTATATTGTACTATTTATAAATAAAAATGCATTTAGTAAATTACATCCAAACCCTTGACTGCGTCTTTTGAATACTTCTCTTTTTTTATTACTTCTTGAAATGAATTCATTTAAACTTATTTATTGTCAAGTATTTTTCAGATACTCTATTTTCTAATAAAGTCAATATAACATTATACTCGTTTGGTTCATACAAAGAATTTTTTGTTTTTGTCCTCATAAAAAGTGAAACTCAGGTCTTTTGAAATGTTTTATTAATTAAATTTTCTAGCAATATGATTTACACCCTTTCTTTTTATTATGGTATAGTATAGTATGAAATCACATGTCATCTAGAATCCTGAGAAATCAAGTCCATTAATACTCCATCACGCTAATTTGTATCTTTTGAAAGCAACTTTAGTAAGATAGAAAAACATTTTCTGTTGGAATAAAAGAAAATTCTTCTGTTCAATTATTCTTTTATAAATTGAAATAATCAAAATAAGAGAGAACTTTTTTTGCACTATTATTATTAACAATTTCATTTTTCATTGAATTTTATTAGTTGTCGAGAAAAATTTTCGATGATCAATCAATGACATAGTATCTCGTTTAACTATATTTACATTATTTTGACATACTGCTAGTAATTTTTTATTTCCTTTTGACAGCATTTATTAGTTACGAAACACTTAAACAGAATATTATTTTCACAATGACAACACTTTATGAATATGTATCTTTAGATTTATTTTTGAAATATGGGGAAAAAAAGCAATGGCATAAAATCTATTAGACTTTTTTCTTGAAAATCTGTTTTTTTATTGTGGAATTTGTGGTAGACGAATGTTGATGCCATTTTCTGTTAATGTAAAAATATAATCACTGATTTTATTTAACATTAAATCTTCCATTTCTTTATCTAATGCATGAGTTACTTGATTAGCCTTTTTACCCAATGGACTGGAATAAAAATTAATTAGTTGAATAATATCATCTAATGTATAATATTTCGCATATACTTCTGTAAGATCAGATATGAATGAATCAAAAGAAAATAAATCATTGTAAAGAGCTTTCATTTTTATATTTTCTGGTGGATAAAGTTTCATATATGATAAAAATCGTACATATTCATTTTCGATTCCAAGAATGTTCAATAAATACTTAATATTATCTTTCAAATTGTTCAATGATGGGCTAACTGGTTTTCCTTGAATCGTACCAATGGTGAAAAGTAAAGCAATGATTAATGTTGTTAAACGAATAGAATTCATAGTCGAACTAAAATATAAAAAAAAACAAAAAAGAAGAAACCTTATTGTTGAGTAAAGGTAATCGGATAGATAAGCAAGGCTCATTGTAATGTATCTCTTCCATAATAATGAATAGAATACATGTATATATATATGTGCGGAGTTTTAAACATCTAATGACTCTTTTTCATTAGTGTTTCATCTCATATATTTAGTAGGTGGAACGAATCAGCAAGAAAAAAAAGATATCAAGTTATAATGGAAATTTTACACCAACTGCTATTGAAATAATGATATATAGTGAGAGAGCAAGGAGTTTTATATCATTTGAGTTTTTCTCTTGTGTTTTTTTCTTCTCTTTTCTCTTGTTCTTTGAAAAAAAAAGAAATCTAGTATTCTTAGTTTACGTTATTCATTAGCCTCTTTCGCATGCAATTCTCTGTTTTTTTTCTCTTTTTTAAATATTGACATATATCTTAATAAGTCAAATGATATGGGATGAGTAAAACTCCCACTCTTACATAACGAGAAGAATATTTCCTGTCCGAAATTATACTTCGATGTGCTCCAGTATATAGATCAATATCGTATAGTCTTCACTGATTGAAATAGTTCTATAATAAGTTATAAACAAAAACAAAACACAAAAAGTATTCATAATTCTATAAAAAGGAATTTTAAATCTTCGTCAAATTTTAGGAGTGATTCAAATTTGTATACAATAACATGTTGTTTCTCTTCTGAAATTCAATGAACTCTTTGACAATCATCATAGAAGTACTAATAGAAATGCATAAACAATATTCGGTAATATTTAACGATAGATAATTATATATGTTGTTGAAGTTTTTATCAACATATCTATTTATGTCAAACTGTAAATGACAAATAATTGTGGTGAAAAGCATTCAAGAAAGTCTAAAATCGGAAACATGTAGACATCTTCTTATATCATATCTATGTCATTTCATGAGATGAGTATTCGTTACATGTTATTCAAGTTCAATGATTTGTTATTCTTTAAAAAAGAGATATTTATTCAATATTCATGAAAATTCAATAGATTTTAAAATATGAATATGATCAACTTATCAACTAAAGCAAAGATAAATATTATATATTTTTTATTTGTTTTTGCTATTTTGATGTATTTATAAGTCAATTTCTAATCTATCAATATACGTCTAAGATCATAATTTTAACAACAAATTTGATGAATAATCAATGTCTGCTAAATAAATTTGTATTCTATGAAGATTCATTAAGTTATATAATTAATATTCTAAATTAAAGAGTTTGATGTGTGCTTTAAAAAACTTGATGAGATTTATAGACGTGATTATTTTTCTTATTATCCAATACAATAGTAATCTTTCTAAAAAAAGGATGAATCAATCTTAGTTTGGTGTATCTTTTTTGTAACCTAGCCAATATGACCTTTGATTTAATGTTGAGAAGTAAAAAAAGAACAAGACGAATTAAACCGCTTTGAAAATTAGAAAAGTAATAAATCCAAACTTATTTCAGCTCATATTAAGCTTTATATTAGTGTCATAAATTCTTTTCATGTTTACAATTCTATAAATCTATAATATATGTACGACAATTCTTAAATATTTCTTTTAAAAATTTTCATCTAATTATTTTGTTATATTACGGTGGAAAGATCGAAGAAATAAGAAATTAGGATTTATAATCTTCAATGTATATATTGTGTTATTATATAAGAAAATGTATGATGCACGGTTCATAGCATCTCTAAGGATCCCAGTGAAAGCCTTTCAAAAAAAGTACGTCTTTTACGTCGTTTAACAAGGTGCCGCTAGGTATGATTATATTTTTTTCTAAACATTGAGATTAGCATCAAACGAAAGACTATTCCTTAGGTAAATCCTTTCATCTGACGTAGATACAATCGTATTGTTCGATCTCACTTGATTTATAATAAATGTATACAATACAATTATTGGAGCAAGAAAACATTTTATGGCGTAGTATTTGATGAACTATATTGTTCTGAATATTTTTTTGAACCATATTTATCTTTGTATGATAATACATTGTTTATATACATATTCTTTACTTTGTACACTAATATTTCATAATTTCAAATATATTGATTAAATACAAAGCAAAACTTAAAAAAGAACTCTCATTGAAAGATTATCATTTTTTTTGTTGGTTGATCTAACAATTTAACTTCATGTACACAGAGAATAATTTAATAATGTTTTGATATTAAGTCTGTGATTTAATAAATTTAAATATACATATTCGATTATATATAGAAAGTATAACGAAAAAATTTTTGTAATATAATCGAAACATGGAATATATATAATCTGTTTTGATCCTATAATAATATGGAACCGATCAAATGGGAACAATTTTTTTTCCTTTGATTTTGTTTGAAAATAGCCCATATGATTAATGATATTTTTTTGAATATTGAAGATTATAATCTGATGAAGGAATAGGATATGATTTTAATTTGATAGGTAGTGTTCATCACAAATTCAATTTTCTTTATATTTATTTATGATACTTTTAAATATTTTATTATCAGTTACTTGATCTCTCCTCCTTTTTTCTATCATTATGTTTACAAAAACAAATGTATGTCATTCTATAGATATTGATATACAGTTAACGACTGATCAAAGACCTATGTATATTTGCAAAATTTTTAATATGTCTAATTTGTCTTTATTTTAAGAACAAATATTTACACTTTATTAACAAGATCTAATTATTTTATACAAACAATGATTGATATCTAATAATGTTTATGAATTAATCGTATAATGCTTAAAATATAGTTTCAATGTGATTATGGAACAGAGTAATACAATCTATAGCTGATTGTCTTTTGCACGAAAAGTTTTCAATGAACTATTTTTGTATTAAATCATACTGATTTATTAGGTATTTCATATTGAATTCAAATATTTACCATTAAATGAAATAGATTTGAGCATAGATTGAAGTTTTTACTATATCTAGACTTGAAGAAAATTCTTTAATTGATAAACTATTTTTAACTAGAGACTATGTAAATTAGAAAAATTTCAATCAATTATAAATATCCAGAAAAGAGTGTATGCTTTTAACTTATTGTCATAGAGATATTATAGCTTCAGAGTAGTTTTTAAATGAATGCTATGGTTCTTCTTATGAACGCCCGAAAAACTAATTTTTGAATTGTAACTTGAAATTTTTGCATAGAGAAAGATCTTAATGAGAACCGTTTATTGTGAATGCCCAAGATCTTGTCGCTGTTCTTATCCTAAGATACAATTATAGTAATAGCATGTTGTTCGTATACATCGACAGATTTGATATTCTTATTTCAGAATAGAAGCAAATAAAAAAAAAGTCTGAAACTTTCATAGTAAACTATTCTCGTTGTGTTTATTTGTTCAAAAAAAACAAAATATCGTAAAAATGCACTTTATCCATAGCAATGAGCTAAGAGCACGAATTTTTTTCAAAGTATTCATAGCTCATTTGGATTTACATAATTCACATAGTCTTGATTTAAAAATAATTTATCAGTTGAAAAATTTTCTTGTTAGGAAAATAGAAAAACAACATATCATTTTTTTTGTTTGTTTAATCACATGAAACATGATATATTCAGAATACTATTCTTAGAAGAAGGTTTAAAATGTCAATTAGCTTTTCATTAGATATTATTAATAAACTTGTCAACTCCATGCCCCGTTGAAAATTATGAAAGAAGATCCACATATCTATTATATCTTATATACCAGTATTCAATGCGAAATAATTAAATACTATACGAGTTTCTCGTAAGTTATATTCAAATAAGTTATACAATTTTAATTAATGATTAGAATAAATCTTGATTCTAATAAATTTATTCGAAGATGTCTGCATTTAATACAAGACGATAGAGATGTTGCTCATATTGACATGAACAATTTTTTATATAACATTCATCATTGAGAAATTTCTTAGCAAATCTTTATCCTAATAATATGTAGTTTATGCATAGATAATAAAATACAGAGTATGCGTTGTGACTTTTGAACAAAAGACAAAGATACGGGTCAAAAATCAATCAAGCATGTTACATAGAGTTCAAATATATGTTTTTGAATAGGATTTAATACATGCCGACTATAATCATACGAAGAAAATTCCACAAATGTCAATCGTTGATCGAGTGGACATTTAGTTCAGAACTACTCGTTTCAATGCGCTTCTCTTCTTCTTCTGAGTTATTCTCATTTCACTGAATTTTTTATCTTTGACAAGGTATCATAAAATACTTGAACGACAGGATTTTAATCTGAAACTTTGTTCATGAACAGACCTTGTAATCATTAAAATGGCCTAAAAATTATAAGCCAAACAAAAATTCATTCTGCTTGAAACATTGAATATTAAAGACGATGCGGTTTTTTTTGTCTTTCTTTGTTCTTCATGATCTTTTGTGTCGGATATTTTATATTTCAAGAAGAATATATTCTTCTGAAGTGAAATTTTTAGAACATCCTAATGAAAACGAAATATTTCCAAGACCTAAATTTCATATTAAAATATTGGCATTAGAGTTTTTCATGAATACTTTGTTATAGGTAAAAAAATTCAGTAAATCAATAATGACTTGGTTAGAACAACGCATGGAAACGAATCCTTCTAGACTTTTATAAGTCTCAGCGAATTCTAATCTTGGAAAAATATCAGCTCGATTCATGATTCACCATCGACTAGCATTTTCTTGTTAAGAAAAATATTCACAACGACTCTGAGCTGTTTAAGTTCTGTATTGGATACGTATTGATGTTCAGTCAGCTTCTTATCAGAGAATTCCAATTCAATATAATTGAGCAAATCTAGATTATACACAATTTACTACTTTCATTATTTTTGTACATCGAACTATAGAGTGTTTCACTAAAGTAATTTCAACTATTAGAATCACCAATATCTTTCTCATAGAAAACCTAATAAGAAAGAAATAGTAAAACTTTTTTGAAAAGTACTCATTGAAAAGAAAATAAAGTTTCTCTTCAATCCTCTTATAAACAATCCGAGCTACGGTATTTACTTTTATTAGATTATATACTTAGACATCATTACAAAAAAAGACATCGAAGAAACACGTCATACTATTACATCTTGAATGTCCATACTATTAATATATTACGTTGTTCATTAGTGAGATACAAAAGGGAATTAGGTTCTTTTCATTTATTATGCTCGCTTTCAGTGGTTCAGAGTCTAAATAAGACTTTGTCAATCTATACATGTAGCAAAAATACGTACAATGTGAATACAATTGAGTGTAATAGCATCAGTACTACAAAAATGAACTTTACATTTTTACTACATGAATATATATTTATAATTAATTATCGATGCAATAAAAATGGAAGAGATACAAGAGTTTTTATGCATAAGAAAGATATTAAAATAAGCCTTGTAGCATAATAGATCATTTCAATCACATTAATGATATTCGCTCGATTCAGTTTCAAAAGTATTTCTCTATTTGTGATAATGAAACAGTTCATTTCATTGTTTGTTATTGTAGTATATAAATTCCAAAATATATTTTTTCAAATCTTATTGAACTCAAAACAAAATATTCGAAATCTTTTTCGCTTATAAGATATCAGATAACTAATTCAGTTCAAAAAAGTATAATTCTTTTGTTTTACATTCAACTCATCATGAAATCCATTTAGTGTTAAACATATAATAGGTAAGTCACAATATATGGGACTTATTGTAAATGCAATTTTCCAATCATTTAATATTCATGTAGAATGCTCACAAATATTTCAAGCTCTACAAAACTGAATGCTTCACTTTTACAAAGAATATTTATTAATTTCGAAGCAATAAACAAGATGTCTTGCATTCCGATCCACTAGTCGTGTAGTCTTGTAGAGAACAAAATTCTGTGATTTTTGGTGTTTGGATAAAGACTTTGTAAACTGAAATTTATCTCAAAAACAAACTCTATGATTTAAAAATTCTTCTAATATTAACGTGAAGGATGTTTTCAAGACTTTTTCAATTGCTCAGTAAAATTTAGATATCTGAAAGTGGATCAATGAAATAGATGTTATCATCCTCTATCTATGAATATAAAAGTATTATACATGTAAAACTCAAAGAGTTGTGACAATTTAGAAACTATTGAGCTTTTACAAGTCTAAAAATTGTAACAAATCTTCGAATTCTATATGTATGAAGGATTACAGTCTGTCACGGAAGCAGAGAAAACACGCAACGGTCTATCTTGATAATACAACGTGACGCTAAGAATCTTCAAGCCATATGTATAGTTCCAAACTTGATTACTCAAGTTATAAATTTCAAGAGTTGAAAACTCTAAAACAAATTCAAAACTCGTAACAAATCAACGAGCTTATATTTAGTTTGATTCATTATGCTTCACTTGTTATCATGGCTTTTGTTAGTCCTAAATTCAGTAAATTTTACTTTTTTTCGTTCCGTCGCACTTAAGTTTTTTTTTTATCAGAGTTTTTTCTCTTCTTTTAATTAAATAAAAAAATAATAATTAGAAAAAAATGAATAAAAAAAAAGATTATTTCAGTTCAATCATCAATGGTAATTTGAGTTTTTGATCTTTTGTAAATTCAAGATTCTATAAAACAAAAACAATAAATTTTATTTAATTTTTAAAATCAGAAGAAATTTTACTTCTCCAGCATAGGATATTAATGGTGAAATTTCAACATAGACAACATTGGAATTATTTTCATGATCATGAAATTTATCCGATCTATGAAAAAAAAGAAAAATCGATCATATTCTTTTTCAAAAAATGAATATCATCTTACAAAATAATTTGCTTTGCTGTATTCAATGGTAAAATAGCACCAGCTGCTTGAAGCCAACGGACATGTTGCAACATTAAATCTCTTCGACATGTAGCTGCTGTATCTTTTGTTCCAGAAGAATTTTTTAATGGTGAAAATTCATCTTCACGACGTACTTCCCAAATAAAAAAATTTCTTATTTATAAAATAAAACAAAAGAATTTTTTTATTTTAATGAAAAGCACATTACTGAATTTCTATTCTTACTTAGCATAAGGAAATATATCGAAAACAAATTTTTCTAATTTAATTCCATTAATATCAATTGGTTTATCAATACGTTTACCATCTTTATCAATAGATGGAATTTTCTTTTTTGCTATATGATAACGAAGTTTATTTTCATGATTTCTAATTTAATTGAATAAAAAAAACAACAACATATAATTAGTTCCTTTCTTTCTGATTTTCATACTGGCAAATATCTTGAAGAAAATCAAAAGTAAAAAAATGATTACATATATTTCCAGTATTAAATAATAATTCTCCACTATCATCGATTTTTTTTCGTTGTGCTACAGTTTCAGATATTTCAGAATATTCAACAATTTGAAAATGATTTCGAATTTTACATATGATACCAACAGCTTCATCAGGAAATGATTTTCTAACTACCTAAAAGAAAAAAAAAGTAGTACGATATACACATAAAAATAAATGAAAATATAAAATTATACTTTTGCTGCACAATCAGCTTTTTTATCAAGACAAAATCCTAAAAAAATAGGATCAGCAACACGAACAAGAATATTATCGACACAATAAACATGAATATATTTTATTTGACGTTTTTTCATTTCTGTTAAAATATGACGAGTTTTTAATGCACGATATAAACCACCATTACCATCAGCTGCTTTAGTTAATTTATATTTTTCATCAAGTAAAATTTTTCCATGAAAATCTAATGCAGGTAATGTATGTTGTTCAAAAAGAATAATATTTTTAGATTTTAAACCAAAATAATTATGTTGAAGAAAATAATTTTCTGTTAAAGTTCGTGTATGTTCACTTGTCATAATAAACCTAAATAGATAATTTTTATGTTTCTTTGATATGTTAATGTTTTTTTTTTCTTTGAACAAACCATGGAATAGATGCTTCTGTTGTATTACATTCTTCATTAGCTAATTGTTCAAGTCGACGAATACGCTCAGCTTGTATTTGATAGAGTGATTTTTTTGATGGTAAACCGACATCGTACATTCCTTTGGGATTATTAATACCTATAAAGTAATTATTATGATTGATTCAGATTAGATTCAAAAAACAAACTCTACCAAGACGAGTTCCTTGACCTCCTGCAAGTAATAATATGCATACAGAGCCTTCTGCAATAGCATTTAAACCTATTATAAAGAACAAATATTTTTTTTCTGTATATTATTTCATTTATGAATTTCAATCAACCTTGTCGACGATAATATTCAAGTTGTTCTTTACTTGTTTTATCAACAGAACCAGTTAAATCTTCAGGAATAGGTTCCATAATTTGATCGATTGTTTCTTCATTCTCATGTTCAATTAAATTATTATCAATAGGTTTTTCAATTAATTGATCTTTAATTTGTTGAAAAGCTTCAGTTATATGATCAAGATCAATATTAGTAATATCTTGAATAAGTATGGCTCGTTGTTCATTATCAAGTTGATCCCAATAAGATAATAAATGTGTCTGATTAGAATTTTTCAAACGACTGTACAAGGTCGGATCTATATCCATCTAAAATAATAGTCATGCACACATCGAAATAAATATTTCTATCACGTCAATCAAGTTATCCAGACAAAAGAAATAGTGACATATGATCGATCGGCTAAAATTTTATAAGTTTGTCCGTCGATTGAAATATTTTTGTTTTTTCTTGTATCTTTGTTTGTTTTGACGATAGATATTTAGTTAATTTGAAATTCTATAAAGTACATTACAAGAGAATGGTTTTTTTTATTTCTAATATCGTCTATCTTAAAATAAACATAAAAATCATTTATAAAAATTATTCAAACATATTTTATGATTTTTTAACATGTTTTCTAATTCAAATATCGAAAGAATTCAATTCTGTATCTATATAATTTTTGATCATCATCTTAGATGGCGTTAGTTCTGATTGACTTCATCTTTTGGCTGTAAGTAAATTTCGATGAAATTAAGAAAACTCTAAAAGCATTCATGGCTCGTTGTTATCAAGATATGCTTAACATGATGATGAAAAAACTATAAGACCAAAATATATAGTATCATTAAATTAGTATTTTTTTTGGTTGCTTTCAGATGATTGCATTTTGGTTGTTTAAACGCATTCAGTTTAGATGGTTTAAAATGGATACCGAAAGATTACTCACAAAAATTTTCAATCATAATTAAGTTTTTCTACTAGTTTTGCTCGTTGGTATACAATGAAGATAGGCAATGAATTTCTAGTATGAACTTTTGTTTATAATGTGAGAAGATGTTAGACATTTCCATCATTTCCTACATAGACTATTAATATCATTAAGTTGCATTCTTCTCATATCTGGCTTCAGTATTATATTATGATGTTTCATCGATGCATTAAACAGACTGCTAAAATATAGATTCTTCGTTATCACATTTTAGAAGTTTTATCATTTAGTTTGACTGAATATTCAAATTTATATTTCTTTTTGACATATATTTAGCTTCAAATTATAAGAATATCATATGAATGATAATTCGAATAAATAAAAAAAAAAAAGAAAACCTGAATTTTTTTTGTCATAGCGTTACTATATTTCAAAAATAAATAATCATAAGCATGAACGCTTTTACAATTCTCTTTGTGTGAATAGGACTTCGTAATTATAGCAGGAAGATGAAGTCGCAAGCTTGGAATTAGTTGAAATGCTTTTCACATGAGAATATATTTTTAATATATCGAGGATTTCAATAGAAGATTAGCTTATCAGTTGATAACAAATTTTTAATAGTTGTTAATTAAGTTAAAGCATAAATGAAAATAGTTCCACAGTCATTATCTTTTTCTTTTCTTATCATAGCGAGGGAGTGTCTCGTTTATAATGAGACAAATCTCTAGACGTTCTTTTGTCACCAAAACACTTTTCAGTAATAAGATATTATTTTTTTTCTTCTATCAAAAGTATGTCAATAATAATTCAGATATTTATAGAATATGAAAATTGACATGATTCTCTATATCTTGATAGCTAATCTAGAGAATGATATAAAAATATCGAAAAGCTATAGAAAATATTGTAAAACGACAGTTTGATTTTAAATTATATTCTAATGATTGTCAATCATTGTCTTATGATATTCTTGGTAGCTATTTATTGTATAAAATAAATGAATATGATATGCTTCATTAGGATTTGGAATGCTTACAGATATTACCATTGTACTCATAATATTTGCAAAGGCCAAACTTCTTTTTAATTATTCTAATAATTTCAAAAGTTCGTTAATAAGTATTTAAATTCGCGCATGCAAAATTCTCATTCCAAATATTTGAAAATTTATCAAATGTTTTCAAGATGAAGTAGTTCAATGTCCACACACATGCTAATAAAAATGAATGCTGATGTTTAAGTTTGACCATAAAACGAAAACCATCAATGAAACATGACATCGTACGCATTTAATAAACACTATACAACTATTGAAATCGATCCTACGGAACTATGAGATCATTTATCATTAGTTGTAATAAAACAAAAATAGACTTCAACAATAAACATGTGTTGTAGAGTTGTTAGTGCAGCTTGTTTTTTTTATTTGTCTATAATATTAATTACGTATGATTGATGAATATATTTTTACCGTATATTTTTTTTTTATACTAATAAAATTATTTACATCCGAATAATCTATTTATAGGCTCATATTTTCGATATGTTTTTCTTTCGTTGTGTTCTTTTCGATGGATTCTCCATCGACATGTTTTCTTACTGTGTGTTGTAAATGCATATCAATCAAGATACTACTCGAGCCTAATATGATAGTATCATGGATATAATTGTTGCTTTAAGAAGACGCATCTCCGATTGTCGGATGTTGTTCGACTTGATACGACGGTTGAGAAAAATCTACGAGGATTAAGAGCTACGACCGATTGAGTTTTTCCTAGTAAAGAGCAATGCATTTTGGAAAAATATGAAAATATAGAATTTTCTTCAGAAAGGCAGTCTATAGATAGAACTAATAATCATTAAAAAGTGCTGAAAACTTCAAAGAAAATAAACGTGTTATTCTAAAGATATTCAACTTTCAAGTAGATTTGATTATTGTGTTCTTCTGTGGTAAGCGGTTGTTTTTTTGAAATTGAATATCACGAGAAAGGTACGTTTGTTTTCTGTGAAACTTTCAGAACTTTTTTAATGATTATTTGTTCTATCTATAGGCTATATTTCAGGATAAAAAGTCTTTATCTTGATATTCTCGGTAATGTTCTGCTCTTCACTTAAAAATCCAGCAAAATAACTGTAAATCTTCAGCACTAAACCAAGGTTCTGAATTTTTTTAGAGTTTTCTTAGTGTTACAGAGATCTATGTGTAGTTATAGTATCAAGTGAACCGGCTGTACGATCATTACAAATATTCTCATGTTAAATTTATCAAGTAGTATTGACACACAATAGAATTTGAAAAAGCTAAAATTTGTTTCGTTGATGTCGCATTTTTTTATTAAATATTGCATTTGAAAGACTCAAGTTGCAATAATTAATTATTCAAGTGTAGTAACACGTTCCGATTGTTTTTCGAGTTGTCGTTATTTTTAGTTTTATAATTAAATTATCAACTCAAAACATGTTCATCTTTCTTATTTTGTTGGTGATACAGCTACTAATGATGACTTATATATAGTATATAATAGTTTTAATCATTAGCTTGACTTGAATGATAAACTTGAGGGGAAATAACAAAAAAATATGACAATATTAACTTATGAAATGTCTGTATTGGATATAGTTCATATTAAATTTCAATGTGAAGTACCAGCAAATCAGTATCATTATTATCAAATGGATGCACAACATCATGTATGTGTCGTTCAAATGAACAAGGTCTTTTCATTACTATCAATTCTATTATACATCAAAATCATATATGTGTATTTACATGAAGAATAAACACAAATCTACAAGAATTTATCAATCGAAAAAGTTAATTTCATTTAGTAGGAAGTAGTTCTGAATACTCTTATTTAGTTTGAATTGAATAGAATGTACCCAAAATTTTATTTTATAATCGTTTCTATTCAGAAAATAAATCACAAATAGAAAAAAAGACAAAAGATATTTTGTTTTAAGAATTTATTTAAATAATATCTTCAAGACATTCGTTCTGTTAGAAAATTCCTATAATAATAAGAATGCAACGAAGAGAAAACTATTCTGGTAAGGTTCTTCTTTTTTTGTCTATTATAATATCTATCTTTAAGCAGTAAATAATAAGTTTAAAAAACTATGTTTATTTCAATTTATATTTTGATTATCATTTATATTGTCGCATGGGGTATATAATGAATCATAAAATAAAATTAATATTCTATACAAGTAGACATTTCTTTTTTGAGATCTATTTATATTCCATATCTTATTCATATGTAAATTGTATCTTAATAATCATGATCATTATTCTTAATATTTGTTGTCTATTGAGAAGTCATCTGATATTAATATTCATCATGTAATTTTAGCACTATTCTATTTAAAGAAACACTTAAAGTAACTTTTTTTTTCTCAACTTTATTTTATTTGCTTTTAGGATAAATATATATATATATGTGGAAAAATGATAACAGACCAAATAATGCATAATTGATTGCTGTTAGATTTTTTTTTGTAGAGGAATGATAAATAGGGTGTTCAAGTTCAGAATACGTTTCGAACGACTTGACTAATGCTATAAAAAGAATAGAACTACTGAAAAGAAAAAAAAAAGCCGAGAAAAGCTAAAAAGAAAGAACTAAAAAATAGGGAAAACTGCGTATTTGTTGGTTAAGACTGACGGAACAATTGTCATTTTTTTGTTGATCTCTACTGTCAGTACTTTCCTTTTTTTTTTCTTTTCATTCTCTCGTTCGCACTATAGCTGCTAGATTCTTGTTAGAGCAGTGTTCGTTATTGCATATAGTCGAATAGACACTCCATTATACACATATGAAGTCTTGTACGCTTGTTTATGAGTTACTAAAAATATAAAGTTAATTAAGAAAAAGAAGAAATAAAAGAATCTGAGTGATATATGTATATATGTTCATATTATTTATTTTACTATTCACAGAAGGTATCCGACATAAGCTAGTAGTTAGCAAATAAACATGTGTGTGCTCATATGCTAACCAGATTCGCCATTTTTTTTATGATATGCAATTGAGTACGTACTAAGAAAGATGATGCTAATGGAATGCGTGGGAATGAATAAAAGAGGGTTAAAACAACGGACTATTTTGATTGTTTTTTTCCTATTCATTTATTACATATTGTCTGGCATTTAAAGATCTAACTTGACTTCTTGTATACTTTAGTTATACGCCATGATATATGGAGAAGAATTTGTTTCTCAGCAAATTTTAAACAATAGTAAAAAAAGTGAGTTGAAAAAAGAAAGTAAAGAACGAGAATAATTATATTTTTATCGTAAAATAAAACATTTTATGATTCTATTCATTATGTTATTGCCTTCATTTTTTTTTCTTTTAAATAGCTTCTCAATGAGTGTTACTGCTTCTTCTTCTTCTTCGTCTACTGACCCAACATCAATAATTGTAGAAGAAGAAGCAGAAAAAATAAAAAATGATCAAATATCGACATGTGAATTAATTAAAGATCAGTTATTTGAAGTAGGACCACGTTACACTGATTTGAAATATATTGGTGAAGGTGCCTATGGTATGGTTGTATCAGGTTATGATAACCGAACATGTCAACGTGTAGCTATTAAAAAATTATCACCATTTGAACATCAATGTTTTTGTCAAAGAACATTGCGCGAAATAAAAATATTAGCACGATTTAAACATGAAAATATAATTAATATACAAGATATAATACGTTCAAATGTATTTGAAAAAATGAAAGATATTTATTTAGTACAACAATTAATGGAATGTGACATGTATAAATTAATTAAGCATCAAAAACTAAGTAAAAATTAATAAATAAAAACCAATCATTTATAAGATAAAAGAAAAAAATTCTGTTTTTTTTTATTTGTAAAGGTTCAGAACATGTTTGTTATTTTCTTTATCAAATACTACGTGGTTTGAAATATATTCATTCAGCTAATGTATTACATCGAGATCTTAAACCATCAAATTTATTATTGAATACAAATTGTGATTTAAAAATATGCGATTTTGGTTTAGCACGTATTGCAGATCCATCATTTGATCATAGTGGTGTATTAACAGAATATGTAAGTTTAGTCATTGATTTTTATTCTCTTTTAACTAATTCAATTTGAATAAAAAAAAACCTAAATTTAAATCAATAGGTAGCAACAAGATGGTATCGTGCACCAGAAATAATGTTGAATGCTCGTGGTTATAATAAACCGATTGATTTATGGTCAGTTGGATGTATTCTAGGTGAAATGCTTAATGGAAAACCATTATTTCCTGGTTAGTTTGATTTATTGAAAATAAAAATAAAATTTTTATGATTATCTGTGGTTCTTTTTTTTTCAATCTAGGAAAACATTATATTGATCAATTAAATTTAATTCTTAATGTGATTGGTTCGCCCGATGAACATGATTTAGCTTCAATTGTTAATGAAAAAGCACGAAATTATATAGCTACTTTAAAAATTCGTTCAAAACAACCATTTTCTCGAATATATCCTGACGCTGATAGCAATGCATTGGATTTACTTGATCGTTTATTAACATTTAATCCAAATAAACGTATTGATGTATCGGATGCATTAGCACATCCATATTTACAACAATATTACGAACCAAATGATGAACCTATAGCTACTCATCCATTTACTGTTGAAATGGAAATGGATGATTATCCAATACCAGAATTAAAACAACTTATATGGAATGAAACACAATTAATAAAAGAACATATTCTATTACAACAAATGCCAATTAAACCTTAAATAAAGAAAAATAAAAATACAAAAAAAAAAAAACATTTTTTTCTTTTGTTTGTTTAATATTTATCAAGGGCTGGCTCCTTGTCATTTGCTTTTTGTTGTTCTTCTTGTTGTTGTTTTGTTCTTCAGAAAAAGTAACAGAAACAATATGATAATTTAATAAAATGAAAATAAAGCTTTGATTATTATGTTGTTGATGAAAAAAAAAAAACAATTTTAATAAATGCATAGACTTTAAACAGACTAGATCATTTTTTTTTGCCGTTTTAAAAAAACACAAAAAAGAGTGCTTTAGTATTTATTTAAATTTATTTATAAAATATAATTAATTAATTACAAATTAAATCTAAGATTTTACAAATGAATACATCAAAAGAAAAACTAGTTTTTCGTTAATTATATGACTGCGAATATTAAACACAAATCAATCAATATATACTTGCTTGAAACAAATATTTTCTCTGTAATTATCTGAGAAATAGATAAGAATGTGTTATTTGAAAAAGTTATCAACTGTTTTTGAACTCGTTCATGTTTTTTCTTATTTCTTTTAATTTTACATTGTATTTTTAACTATATGAAGTAATTAATGGATTTATTAATATATCCATAGAAGTTTTGAAAATATTCTATTTTATTTTAAATTCTGGAAATTTTCTTCTTGTGGGTTCTAAAAATTTTATTCATTTAGCACTTAATAAAAAAAATAAAAATAAAAGAACTAACAAGTATACTTGATTTTACGTGTTTATATTTACTTTTAATCAAAACAATATTTCTTTATAAAATTGATTCGTTGTATCGTTAAATAAAGAATTTTACGAATCAATTTATGTTAAATATAGAACAATCATTAGATTGTCTTAATAAAAAAAAATTATGCTTGTTCTAAAATAATTATGCATATTAGATAATTTTACAAAAATACTGAAACTATAAATAGTTATACTCTATTGTTGATTACATTAAATATTAATATATTAGTGATTAAAATGTATGTAGAAAAAAAGTGGTTTATCTTTAGATGATTGAACTTCTACTCGATTCTATAATAATATATCGTTATTAAACAAATTCTAGTATAAAAATCCTAGAAACACGAATGAGTTTGAACCAAATAAGTAGGATCTACCGGATTTTTCTTGGAACAAGCAGAAAAGCATGGTAAATTTTCTTGACTAATAAAAGTAGGAGATCAATCATCGTCGCTTTATCGACATTATACCAAAACTAAAAGGCAAATAAGTCTTCTTTAGTTTTTCCTGACTTTTCTCGACAAAAAAGTTTTATGATCCTACGATTCCTGCTCGTTTCAATTCAAGATTATAAAAACACTCTATGAAGTCCAATCTGGCAATTAATATGATCTCGAAGTTTCAAAATATATTTACTTTTTCCAACGGCTAACCTATAGAAAAAAAAAACTCGGAAGTAAAAACCGTTTCAATCATAAATGAATCATTTATTGTATTTGAGAATAGGTTACAGAAATGGAAAGCAATACTGTTTTACTACAAGAATTCATCTTTAATGAAAATTCATTTACAAATGATGATGGTGAACCATATGATGAAGTAACTGAATACTTGAGCTTGAAATGATCTCTTCTCTTGATTATTGATTATGAAAGTATGTACGGGATATCGATCAGATTCGATCCTGATACCAAGTACACTAATCCGGATCCATTTGAGAAAATTCGTATTCGTGCAGAATACTACTTTATTTTAATATTATTTCAAAAATCATAAAATATCATCGAAACGTTAGTAAAACCTTTCACTTTATTTCATCGAATATCACAAACGGTCAAACAAAAAAAAAAAACAAAAGCTAAAAACGAAACAAAAAAATAACTGCTTTTAATTCACCGTTTTCTTTATCACTTATTAATTTATCTTATCATTACGTTTATACAATCCATAGAATAATCGTTGAGGATTAGTTATTTTATTTAAATCATAATCAAATATAGCTAATAAATCGAATCCAACTAATTCTAATTTATTTTGCCATTCTTGCCGTGTTTTATATTGAATTGATTTTGTATATTTAATAATTTTCTTTTTTTGTTCTGTCCATGTTAATTTTTCATTTTTATTTACTAAATAATCATTACTAAATTCTCCTATACGTCCTATAATCATAATAGCATGAATAAAATGTAAATATTTTGTTAATACTGAACGTTCTAATTTACAATCATGTTCTCGTATTATAAGATAACCATTTGGTTGCATTATACGTGCAAGTTCTTTAAGTATATTATCAGTATTGTTTATATGATGAAGTGTAACAAGACATGTTATTAAATTAACAGATTGATCATCTTTAAAAAAAAAAAAGAGAAGAAATTTTTTTGTAAATAATTAATATAAAAAAAAAAAAGAATTTTACTAAGATTAATAATTGACTGATTTTGATCTATTGATACATATGTTATATGTTGATTATCACTATTAAAAACATCACCACCAAAAATATATTCTTTATTTATATTAAAATAATTTCCAATACGAGCTGTTATTAAACCATCTCCACAACCTAAATCAAAATAACTATTAATGGATTCTTTATTAATTAATTCATTAGGATTGAATGTTGTTGAAATTTTAAATCTTGTATTATAATTTTTATCAAATATTGATTTTAATTCATTAAAACGACTATCAATTCTTGATGTCACTTGTCGTTTACGTAATGATGTTTTTGCACCTATTCAATAATATTAACAAACAAAAAAAAATAGAGAAAAAAAAATCTGAATTTGAATATTTTTACCAGGTATTTTTGATACTCTTTCAATTAATATATTAAGTAAATCAAGTTCATCAATTGTATTATATAAACTTTCATTCCATAATCTACTAAAATAATGATAAATATTTGCTTGTTGCCCATAAATTTTACCAATATAAGCAAGTAATGCATCCGAATATGATCGATTTGACCATAATGATAATCGATGTTCCCATGAGCCCATCCATCGAGTAAAAACATAATCATGTGGTATTTTTGTTGGTGTTACTTCATGATGATTACAAGTTTTTGTTGTTAATGATTGTTGATTTAACATAATCGGCAGTAAATAATTGTTGCCGATAAATAAATTTGTTGGTCATCTGTTTTGATTTACGTAAAAGAAAAGAAAGAAAAATAAAAATAATCCAGGGTCCATTTTAGACAGTATGAGGATCGAGAAAAGAATAGTTCGTCTATTTGACAGGAATTGAATTCATTGTAAAACAAAAAGAAAAACAATGAATATTTGATAAATCAATTGACTATTGGGCATTGATAATTTCGTTGAATTAACATTTAAAGAAATGTCTTATGTAATCATAATAAATTCAAATGAAAAACAAACTTTTTTTTATTTAAGTGAATGTTATTCAATTATAATCGTATCATTTATTCTCATCATCAAAAGATTTGCTCATTCGAAAAATGATGTATATATCATATAGAAATTATCATGTTTATAGAAATTATAAATTCTATACGATAAATGATTAAAATTGTTATTATTTAAATTAACTCATTTCAGCACCCCATGCAACTATGATAGTTGGTAGTAAAAAATCTTTTCGACTTTTTAGCGTATTTTACAATACATTAGAGATTTCGTGTTGAGCGCATTCGACAGAGAATTTCCTTCTCTACAAAATAATTCTGAATACAACAGTATGATTATTAAATTGAAGAGTTGAAACATTAAAGTTACGTGGCATTAAAAAGCAACAATAATTTTATTCTACCAGAAGAAGGTTCTTAATGTTTTTTTAACATTTTTTCTACCTCAAAGATTTTTCTTACATTTATTTTCTAAAATTTTGAAACATATATCAAAAGATGTAGGATTTTGTGGACGCCGTTGTTACACATTTGAGATTTCAGCAAAACTTATATGAAAAATTTTCCGTCGTTTTTACTTTTTTGATCATCACAGCTAGATAAATGAGTAGATGTTTACTTTTTGAATTTTGTGGCAACAAAAAAATATCTTTTTGAAAACCAGATGTTCCCGGAATTTTCGCTCTAACATACGAATTTCAAGTGTGAGCTCTCAATAGTTACTAAAGTGCGGTATTTACTTTTGAGAATAATCTCGATTGCTTGAGATTGAGAAGTTGTAGCATGTTTGTCATTAGTGACAAATGTATATGCATCAAATGGTTTCTAAGATAACATTTTCATTATTGATACCATCATCAAAGTTCGAATATATAAGCTTACTCTTCTTTTGAGAAAATAAAGAAAAATAAGAATCAAAAATCTTTCTCTTATTATTTTGCACGAATTAATGTTCTGTGCTCAATGAAAATGTTATATTGTAATAAAAAATGCGTGTGTAAAACGATTCATTCTTCACGAGATACAACTAAATTAACCCGTTCTTTTGCGTGCAAATCTTTTGAAAAATATTGCTTTTTTGAATATACACTAACTTTAACATTGTGGTTCACAAGAAGTGCCCAAAGGTTCAAAGAAAGAGTAATTATCGATTATGTTTGGATATCCTATTACATAAAAATAAAATAAATCACACTACATTCTGCAAATAATATGTGTGTTAATTAGCAAAGTTACAAGAATGAAAATTTTCATAGGAGGGCTGAGACCCCGCTAGCTCCCATCTGGATACGTCACTAATACATACGATATTCGTTTTTAATCTAGAACAAACATGGATAAACCCAACTTTGTTGATAAACATACTTATGTATTTCTTATTCTGTGAAATGATTTCGAGATTTATCATGCTATGTTAAGATCATCGAACGTACATATATTTATATACAAAATGATTCGTATCATACGAATAAAAAAAACAAGAACAACACTTCGTTATTATTTAAAAAAGCCTGATTAGTTGAGAGAAATATAAAGAGAAAATGGAAAAGTATATGTAATGACAGTGATACTAACACATTTTTATTAAAGTTTCTACATGATTGGTACCATAACATGCAATGACAATGTCCATCCAACTATCCTGGTTCAAATCTTTGACTGCAACCGAGGATGGACGATATCCGTAGCCTAAAGCATAAGAAGTTTCGTTTCCAAAAAGTCCATTTCCATAACCATAAAGTAGTAATATATTGTTAGTGCCAGAATTCGCAATGACAATGTCCAATATATTATCATTATTGAGATCACTTACGGCAACAGCGCATGGTCGAGAAAGAGCACCAGTTGAGTATGTTTCTCCAATTACAAACGAACCATTACCATAACCAAACAGAATAGCAATGTTATCAGTTTCAGAATTAGTAACAACAATATCCAATTGATTGTCGTTGTTAAAATCAGCTACAGAAACAGAGTATGGAGCAGAACCAACTCCAGTTGAATATATTGTTACAGTATCAAAAACTCCATCACCAAGTCCAAGTAAAATACCTACATTGTCAGTACCATAGTTAGCTACGACAATATCCGATAGACCATCGTTATTTAGATCACCAATAGCGACTGTGTGTGGCTGGGATCCAAAACCCAAATTATATGATGTTCCGCCGGCAAAAAGTTTTCTGCCATATCCAAGAAAAATGCTTATATCGTTCGATCTTTCATTTACGACGGCAATATCTAATTGGGAATCATGGTTAAAATCGCCAATAGTTAGCGCATACGGTGCGGATCCTACACCAGTGCGATATGTGTTTCCCAGTAGAAAATCTCCATCTCCAAGTCCAAAAAGTACAACAATATTGCTAGTTCCATAATTAGCGACAGCGATATCTAATATGCCATCATTATTAATATCACGAGCTTCAATAAATTGTGGAGCAGAACCATCTCCAGTAGAACATGTCCTGACAGGAGCGAAACTACCGTTTCCATATCCGAGAAAAATGCCAACATTATTTATATTATAATTACTAGTAGCAATATCAAGTCGATTGTCTCTATTGAAATCTCCAACAGTTATAGAAGACGGCCAAGATTGATAACCCGTTGAATAACTCACTTGAGTTGTAAAGCTTCCATTTTCATAACCTAACAAAAGACTGATACTACTAACATGATAATTAGCAACGACAATATCTATTTGGCCATCATTGTCAAAATCACCAGCAGCAACAAATAATGGATGCCAATCACTTTCGATTGGATAAGTAATTATGTTATCGAAAGTCAAATTACCAAATCCAAGTAGAATACCTATATTGTTACTAGCATAGTTGGCCACGACAATATCTGTCCAACCATCATTGTTTATATCGGTTAAGACGATTGCAAGCGGACCAGAATCATTTCCAGTTGAATATCTTATCATAGTAGAGAAACTTCCATTGCCATATCCAGCAAGGATTCCTATGTCATTAGTACCTGAATTAACGACAACAATATCCAATCGTCCATCATTGTTAAAATCATCAGCAGCCAATGATTCAGGTAGTGAACCATTTCCTGTCCAATAAGTCATCATAACACCAAAACTTCCGTTACTATATCCGAGAAGAATACCTATCCTATCACTTATAGAAAAAGTAACGGCAATATCAAGATATTTATCATTATTGAAGTCACTAGTGATGATATTATGTGGTCTTCGATTATTCTTACTGGAATAAGTCTGACCACTTTGAAATGATGTATAATCAAATCCAAGAAGTACACTTATACTATCTGTACCTGCATTAGCAATGATACAATCTATTCGATTGTCATTATTGAAATCACCGATAACTAGTGCCAAAGGATATGAATCTTCCCCAGTTAAATACACTTTTGGAATATCAAAAGTTCCATTATTATGTCCTTCAAATGCACTAACACTATTATCCTTTGAATTAACAGTAACTATATCTAAATAATTATCTTTGTTAACATCACTAGCGATAACATATCGTGGATATGAATCAGCACCAGTAGGATACGTTATTTGCGTTAGAAATGTACCATTACCAGAATTAAAAAATATATCTAAATTATTACTTCCTGAATTGACGACAGCTATGTCTACGTAACTGTCATCATTGAAATTACCGGTAGTTACAGAATACGGTTGTGGAGCCGAACCAGTTAAATATGTTTTTTGATTTGCGAAATCTGCTGCAGCATATTCAGTTAACACACCAATATTTCCAGTGCCCCAGAGAGTAACAACAATATTTTTTTGTATGTTATTGTTTAACTTGGCGGTTGTGATGGCATACGGCTTCGAACCATAACCAGTAGAATATCTTCTTGCAAGTTGGAAACTGCCGTTACCGTATCCATAAAAGATGATTACTTCGTCATTGATAGTATCGGTCACAACCAAATCTTGCTGATGATCGTTGTTAAAATCAGTAACAGTCACATAGTAAAGGGATGAAGTAGGGCTAGTCGAATATATTGTGATTTCTTGAAAGGCTCCACTTCCGTATCCAAGGAGAATACCTACAAAACCTCCGTCTATAGTGGAGACAATAATATCCAGGTAATCATCATTATTCAAATCTACAAGACAAACAACAGCTGGACCAGAAAAAATACCAACAGAATAGATCGTTGTGTCAAGAAAAATTCCATCACCATGACCAATAAGGACACCCACATTGTTAGAGATGTAACCAGTGATAACAAGATCCAACCGGTTATCATTGTTGACATCACCAACAGCAACTGATAACGGCTCAACAATAATATCAGTAGAGTATGTCGTCACGTTATCAAGTGTCCCATCACCATGTCCAAGAAAAATACCCAAACCTCCAGATCCAGAATTCGCAGTGACAACATCTAATCGGCCGTCATTATTGAAATCTCCAACAGCGACTGACCACGGTTTAGAATCATGACCCACAAAGTAAATTATGACATTAGAAAAAGTTCCATTGTCTTGTGCAAGAAGAATACCTACACTATCAGAACCATAATTAGCCGTAACAATATCCATTCGATTGTCGTTGTTAAAGTCACCAATACATAAGCCTTTTGGAGCTGATTTATTTCCACTCGAATATATTGTTGCTTGGTTAAAAGTTGCATCATCATTACCAGTTAGTAAAAGTAAGTTATCATTGTCAAAACTATTAACCAATAAATCTAATCGATCATCATTATTAAAGTCATAAATAACGACTGACGATGGACGGGAGTCTTTTCCAATAATATAATTTGTTTGTCTTGTTGATGGTTTTATAAAATATTGACTAAGTACAAGTATATTATTAGTACCATAATTGACTATAACAATATCTGATTGATTGTCATCATTAAAGTCTGCCACAGCAATAAACAATGGATGAGATCCATTTATTCCATCATATGTAGTTGTTGTAGCAAATGTTCTATTATCATATTGTAGAAGAATATGTACTTGATCGTTTTCTGAATCAACAACAGCAACATCTAGTTGATTGTCCTCATCAAAATAACCAACACTAATATAATGTGGACGACATTTGGAGCTTATCGAGAATATATTTTGTATCGCAAACGTACCATTCTCATAACCAAGAAAAATACCAATCGTGCCATTAGCAGAATTCGTAACTAGAATATCAAGATGATTATCATTATTTAAATCTCCAACAGTAATAGATGACGGTTTCGAATTGAGAGTAGTTGTATAGGTTTTTTGATTTGCAAATGTTCCATTGCTATAACCAAGAAAAATACCAATATTATTAGTACCATAATTAACCACAGCAATGTCTAGTTGATTATCTTTGTTAAAATCACCAACCGTTAATCCATATGGAAGAGAATCATAACCAGTAGAATAAGTTATTTGATCTTGAAAAGATCCGTTACCATTTCCAATAAGAACACCAACAGTATTAGTACCATGGTTAGCTACAACAATATCCGTTTGATTATCATTATTGAAATCTCCAGTAGTAATAAAAAATGGACGAGAAGAATTAAGTGAAAACACTTTTTGATTAGCAAATGTTCCATTTTGATTTCCTAAGAATATCCCAATATTATTGGCACCATAATTAGCGACAGCAATATCTAAATAATTGTCTTTATTGAAATCACTGACAGCAAGTGAATAAGGACGAGAGTCGAATCCAGTTGAATATATTTGTTGAGTAGTAAAGGTTTCATTGTCTTGTGAAAGAAATATTCCAATAGTATTTGTACCAGAATTTGCTACAACAATATCCATTTGATGATCATTGTTAAAATCACCGATAGCAATAGATCGCGGTAGTGTACTAGATACAATTGAACTTTTCATCATTCGTTTAAATGTAAGTTCACATGTTTTCTCTAAAAAACACAATTAACAATGAATTAAATATCAATGATATTGTTTCACTAATAAAACACTTAGATGCTAATCGAACAACATAGATATTTCGATCCTAGTACATAGAATAAAAGAAATTCTATGATTATTTGGATCTTTAATCGAAAATAAATTATCATTTCAGTTGAGAGTCAATTAAAAACACACAAATATTTTCTTAATTTTCTAAGAGTCTTTCTCTTTAGAGTAGATTCACCACATAGAATCGTTCATTTCGACTGGAATTTTTAGAAATCAGCTATCCTAGTGAAAAACTCCATGTCATGTAAACCGTTCGAATATGGTCAGTTAAAGGCAGTTCTTCAACTTCATTTTTTTTTAGAATCTCACACTATGAATATTTTTAAATTCTTCGAGGAATGTTAGATGTCAGTCGACATTGCGTGTTCCTGCACAAGTGAGCGTGCTTAGATCGCCTGTATAACAGTATATAACGAGAGCATCACAAGGACGGTTTCAGTTTTACTACTGAAGGTGTGCAGCCTACCACTTCAGAATTTAAGAAATTTTTTTTATAAAATATTGAAAGAACTCTTGCAACATGATCTCCTCAGTGATTCGAAGTATTCAAAAGATTACAGAAGTGATTTAAACAGTATGTGTGATATATTTACAGCAGTCTGTGAATTAAAACTGTTTTTCAAAAAGGTTGATAGTTGAGACTAGTAGCAAAGAGTTTAAATTGTTATAACTTGAGCTGTAACTATCAACCATTTTAACTCGATTAACATTTAGAACTTTTGAATAGATTTAATTAAGTTGAAACAATAATTATTTTGATTCAGTTGAGATGCTTGATAGAACAAATTAAAATACACGTATTTCATTGTTCTCTAATTTACAAGCTTAGTATTTATAGATTATTCTCGGAGTCTTTTTTCATGTATTATATGTGAAGCGGAAATGCACGTATAACACAATAAACTTGTCGTTGTATGATCCGTGATGATCTTTAAAATGAGAGTAGCTGGAAATAGTATTTAAAAACTGTAACAACTCTATTGTATTTCTTGTTCTCTTAAATGGTGTTTGTCTTCAATATATGTTGTGAGAAAATTTAGATAATATCCTTTGTCGCTATAATCACATATATTTCATTTAAACATGAAATAACTCTATTATGTTATTCTTCGTTCATTCTTATGCATCCATCACTACTTTAACCCACAGATAGATTGTTCTGCTGTTCTCATCCTTTGTCATTATTATATCGACGATCGAGAAAAGAGAAGATGCAACTATTGTTTCCTCATAAGTTAAAGGAGAATAGAAATGCTACCTACATTATTCCGAAGAGCTAAATGGACGCTGATTCCTTGATGTTTGGCGTGAACATATCTCATTTATACGTATGATATGACAAAAAAAATCGAAAAAAATCAAAATTTCATTGATTCTTCTGATGAATTTCGATTATATTCGGTTAAAAATTCTGCAAAAAACATCGATATTGATTGGCTTTTCTTCATGATAGATAAAAAAAATCTTTAACCATTTTACTTCGGTTTGAACCAATTATAAAAAAACGAAAATTGAACAAAATATCACTTTTCTTTGCAAAACAATGTTAGACGAAATTAATTAATAGATTTCAAAAGACAAAATAAAAATAATAGTAATGTCATCTGTTTTGATTACGGTTTCTGAGATACACATTATATTATTAGCAATAGGATCAGCTGACAATGATTATGCCGATAGGATTTTAAGTTAACCGTATAATATAAATGGTATTATATAAGCGAACAAAAATAGAATGTTTGATAATCTGTTTAACACTTAATGTGAATGAACTGCGAATGTAATTCTGATGTAAAGTACGGACAAGTCAATCAGATTTTAGCCGACATCTTAAGACTAATCGAACTGGACTGCAATATATATTTCTAGGTTTTCGTTCCAATCTTTTTCAATTCGTTGCTATATGAAGACCTTCTTCTCTCGGCAAAATTTTTCTGAGAAAGTTAATTTCGATCAAGCACTGAAGTAGTGATAAGCACTAGCGAGAAATTTTTATTATGATTGTTTCAGCAAAGAATTTTGACTTCTAATTGATCTGAATGTTATCTTAAACTATCATCATTATTTTCAAGAGTCATTAAAGCAAACACAAAGCCTTGAGTAGTTATCAGAGGATGCCAACATCTACAAACATTCTTTGCTCAAACATATCTTTAAATTTTACGTCTTAGCAGCTATTAGGAGCGTTTCAATCCTCAAAACTCAATCCGCGGCGATACACATTATTACTTATATGAACAAAAAAATGTAACATCAATTTTTGAGAAGCGGTCGTTTCTACTAAATACTTGAATAGACAAGAAAAGATAATTTTGATTTTTGAAGAAACCTTCTTTTTCAATAGATTAGAAACACATTATTTCGAAGTCAGCCGAATATAATCCTTCTATATTAGTGAGACAATAATACTTCTGCCGTATAAAATATCAGTCAAGAAAATATAGAAACGGAATATTTGAATCTCTCTTGCTACGAAAAAATTCCATATAACTGCGAAAAATTTCTGTCACATTTAAACTAATTGTCAGATGAAAAAGACAATATAAGACAGATTTCAAACTCCTTATTACCTTCAAAGAAAATGCAATCTAACACAGAATAACTTTGTACCTAGTTTTCCCAACACTAGAAGAACTTAACTTGAATTGTTCTAAAAAACCAAAATTTTGATGAAAATCTCTCAAATAATGTTAATCAGTTAGATTTGACTACCTTACCCTAAAGAAATGTAACTTTACACTGAGAAAAACATCTTTCTATGAGCTTGAAACCTGACAGAAAAAAATGAAGACTAAGTTATATGACGTTCATTCTTCTGGTTACGCTGCTGCGTCTGTACCAGCTACATCGACTGTTTTTGCATAGGGTACCAAGAAAAATAGTCATCAGTGAGCAGACTCAAACAGTAGGAAAATGTGTGTTGCCATCTGGCAAAATATACGGTGGCATATTAAAATCAACTTTTTTGAGAAGCGTTCGACCTCAGCAACATAGAAAATATTAACTTAATCAAGAACTATAAAAGACTTGATGAAAATGAAACAAACTATTCAAACCATCGACTTTTTAATGAACTGCACCTATTTATCGATTGTGATAAAAATTCAACAACATGGGGCGTGTCTAGCAAAGATTTTGACCCTGTAAGTCAAGCTAGATCGAACTTTTGGCTTATCAATAGACTATTTATGATGTTCAACAGAACACCAAGAACATCGTTACTACAAAAGATACAGACCCTAGGACAATTTCAAATAAAAGCCAAAACCTTTACACAGTTTTTCCAAACAGAATTTTGAAATTCGTTTATAGTCACTCTTTGAGAGATATACCTTTAGCTGCCTTCTCCTATGATAGACACACCACTTTGACTTTTCGTAGAAAAATTGAGGTTTCACGAGGACCCCTTAAGGTTATTCAAGATCATTTATGATGTTTCGATAATCAAAAAAATGCAAGGATGATATTTATTATCATAGGAAAAAATCATCGAATAAATCTTCTTTTATATTTCTGATTGTACAAACAGTTCAAAGTAACTTTCAATTCATCCTCAAAACGATTTTTATTTATAATAAATTTATTTGAGCAAAAGAAACCTTATTTCGAACTTAATAGATATCTCAATAATTATATCATTTATCAAAATAATAAAGAAAAACATACTTGATTTGGGTGAAGTAAAACAAACTACCAATACTCCAACAATAATTACTACGCTGGTGAATATTCCAAACAAACAAAAATGCGTGGCCGTTACTTTTGCGTGCAAGGAAGACCTTTGTTAATATGGAAGAACTGTTAATTTGAATCAAAGTAATACTATTAATAAAAATACATACCGTTGTTCCAAAGTTGCTTTGAAGTTGTCTTGATTATCAATATTATTCAATTCAGTTGTCTTCTGAGACATATTTGACAAGTTAATGAATTCATTATTATGATGTTCTTCATCCGATGGGAGTTTTGAATCCATAAAATTTACGTCGATCTTCAGTGAAGAAAACTAAAGAACAATATAATCACAAAATAGCTGAGGAATAAAATCTAATCTTAAAACAAAACTCAATGTAATAATGTTGCCTTACTAAAGAAGTAAGTCATTAAAAAATCAAATGAATATTTTTCATTTTATAAACATCTAAAATGTAACACGTTCATCTGACGAATGAATCTTTCTAGATGATAAAAAGATTTGGGGATGAAATTTGTATCATTAAGTTGAATCTATGTAGAGTCGACAAAGTCTATAGTAATTTATGTCCGTGTTGCTTTTCTCGTAAGTTATGGCTTTTTTCTGATTTTTTTTACTTACTTCATAGTACATCAAGAAAACCAAAGGGGAAACACCGTACTTCATACTTTAAAGTACTTTAATGTACTTTGAGGTACTTGAAGGTACTTTGAAGTACTTAAAAGTACTTAAATGTACTTTAAAGTACTTTAAGGTATTTTAAAGTACTTTGAAGTACTTTAAAGTACAAAAGTACGGCGTTTCCCCCTTGAAGAAAACCCTTGTTGAAGTTTTGATCTGAATTCAGTAAAATAATCATAACTCGAAAACAAAGCTATAAGCAAAGAGTGATTATTGGTTCTTTCCACTCTCAATCGGCTCTTTATAATGACACAAATTTTGCTCCAAAATTTTTCAATTCAAAAGAAATAAAATTGTCTGCGATAAATGAAAACTAACCAATCTTTGACTTTCTATTCCTTTTCTCATTTTAGTTCTGTGATTTCTTTTTTTTCTTTATTTTATGTTCTTCATTAAAATCAATTATTAGAAATAAGTAAAATTGTTTTTCATAGAATAGAAATGAGTTCAATCAAATAATCAAACATTTTATAAAAGAGAACGAAAAACTTCGATAAAATCATAGTTTTAAGGTAAAATATCCATGGTAATAAGA